CTAACATTCTGTGATTCTGTGATACAAGCTGGACTGTGAGTTAGCCAAGTTACTTGCATTGCTGACCGTATGTTACTTAAGGAAAAAACTGCATCTCAGATCACAAAAATTCAGAGAACCACATTATCATGAAATACGAATCTCTTGAGTTATTTGAGCTTGTCTGCTGGAAGCATCCCCAAAAAATGAGTAGTTTACCTGACATCACAGTTTATTCTCTCATCTCTCGTCAATACCACCTAGAGCACGTTCAAGCTTATATCAGGCTGAAAGCTATGAATCAAGTTTGCTATATAATTGTTTTTCTTCAGCTGTTATCTGTAAACACTGCCTGCCTGAGTCTTTCAATTCAGCACCTTCAGGAGGCTACCTAAGTACAAAGGAAACTTAACTGAAAGGCCAGATAGGAGAAGATGAGGAAGTAAGTTATTCTCTGTGTTTTCTGTGATGTCTCAGTGTGTTATCAGAAGCCAAGAACTTCAGGGAAAGATGGCAAGATGGAAACACCATGGAGGAGGGGGGAACTGTGTGACTCATACCCCTTGCTGAGCATCTACAGCACCAAAGAAATATCTACGTACTACAAGAGAATATTTTGCAAAGACGCAGTAGCGGTTCGGCCCTATGGGATTTAGCAAACCCAGTTACTTTTATACTTCAATAGATGACTCCAAAAGCTGCTAAAAGAGTTTATTAAAGACCGTACTAACAGTTCTCATAACAATGGCACGTACAATGATTCAAAATCATGACAAATAGCATGGAGTTTTGAAGAGCATTATTGTAATATACCACGGACAAGAACAAAGCAGATGTGCTGTCTCAGAACTCTACGAGCAGGCCCATGAATACAGCAGTCATATCATATATCATAAAGCTGTACAAGTGTCAGAGAAAATAGAAAAAAAATAAAAATAAAGTCATTCAATATGCAGTCCTTGAATTTATTGACAGTATTACAGTACTTTATGGGCAAGGACTGGCTTGTTCCAGCTGCACTTTCCAGAGTACAAGGGCAGCTGGAAATAGCGAAAAAATCCCCAAAACTGTAAGCACCCTCCAACAAACATACCTCAGATGCAATCACTACTCCAGAGCTTCCTGCTTATGAATTTTTAGTCAGAAATTCTGACCTCCCTGCAATCACTTTGCTCAGAACAGTGTTTCATCTTGCAAGAAAACAACAAAACCAGGGTGCTTCTTTAAGACAGTGCAAAAATATTTTCAATGGTATCGTTAAATCACAGATTAATGATAATCAGCATATATCAACTGCAGCACGGCCAACAGCAACTTCAAGATCAGAACCAGATGGACCTGCTGCCCCTTGACCAACACTCTAGACTGAGTGCTCGCAGAGGGGAGACGTGTTGCTCACTCCCAAGCGAGCCACCATTTCTGGGTTCATAGTGAGGAATGGTCTCAGCTACTCCAGGATAACAAAATGCTACAGAAAGCCTGCAAGTATTAAATTATCCAATCCTACATCAAAAAACTAACAAAAGAATATTGAAGTTGAAAAAGCGTATCCCAGCCATGTTATTTGTGATGGCTCTAACGTTGTTCCCTTCCTTACCGTGCTGGTCATGGTAGCCAAAGTGTGCCTTGCGGAGTTCAGCAGCTTACAGCACCCCCATGGTGATGCAGGATTCCCAGCAGCATGTGGGGATTTATATTCTCCGAGACACACCATCTAATTAGAATGGCATGTCAGCTGCAGCCTGCTCCTGGTGCGCTGCCTTTATAGCTCTTGGCTATGAGCTCTTAGGTCCCTCTGCACTTGTCCCCCTCGTCTCACCCATGCTCACACCAGCCCATCCATGGTCATTCATTAAATTTGGTGTGCATCTTCAGAGCAATTTGCAACTTCTTTTTTAAGCAGATGTTGAGGTGTCTGCATATCACATTGGGCCATTGGTATAATCTGTGCCAGAACATCCCCTGGCAGCTCCACAGTACACAAATTCAGTGAGAGATAACTGTGCTTTGCCAAAACCCCAAACCATTCTTCTTGTCCCAATTTTCACAGTTGTGTGTTTTCATTGTATTGTGATTATGTAGAACCTTTTAACATCTGCCAGCTTCAGAGGATAAAATCACAGTGCTGCATATCAACAAAACCCAGCATACCCAGCCTCCAATATAAAATAATTTATATACACAAAGCAGAATTTGCATCTTAAATGAGAAGAGATTGTCTCATTCTCTATGGTGTCTTACCCAGCTACTCAAAAATAAATAATTCACATCAGATTGATGGATTTGTTTCCTGCACAGCACACGTGCGCTATTGGAGCTGACAAAGACAACATGAAAAAAACTTTTCTAATTAATAAAAGAGGATTGTTGAACACTTGCACATATTGGCACAAGGCAGAAGAGAAAAGGGAACACTACACAGCTCAGCTCAGGTGCCTTCCTCTGTCGAGCGGGACTCAGATTTCAACTTTACAAATTCTCTGGCAACTTCATCATTGGTTCTTTGAGAGAGAATCCTCAAGACTGTAAGTCCAGTCTCATCCATGTGAATTCTGCGCCCGAGGGGGCACCAGCAAGCACAGCTTCCTTTGTCCACTATGTCTCTGAGCTGCATCACTGCTATCCCCAGTACTCGGTCCTCCCGAGCAAAGCAGTAGTCCTTCACACAGACCTGGAGCTCGTAGGCATCAGGGCTGTCTTCATTCCCCAGTATGCTGAAAAACACACACAGGTTTACTTACAGTTTCTTAGAATGTACCAAGTCCTCTGCAAAATAAAGGTGCCAGCAGCTGACTAGAGTGCTTAGCTGAGCCACAGAAAACTCCTTCCTACAGAAAACCCTTGTCAGAGAGGGAAAAGTAAATCCTGGGGCATACGGGAATTTTTGCTAATTTACAGCTGATAAAGACAACCTGGCTACTGAAAAAGAAAAAACAAACAGCCCTTATCAATTTGCCTTTGCGTATGTGTGTGTGTTAAACTATGAAATGAGAGGAGTGGAGAACATTAAAGCCATGCTAATAGATTTTCAACTCAGATGACTTTAAACATTTCTGCTTCTGTTCAGGCTTGCTTCATTTCAGTAAGCAATATTTTAATTAGATGAAGTCTTTGTTAAGGATTCAGAACCTTCCACTAAAGCGAAAGCTAATGAAAATACATCCCCAAGTTTTCTGATGTTTGTTAAATTAAAAACTTTAATTTAAAAAAATTTTAAAAGGACAAAATCCCTTTACTTAGAGGAAGCCTGCCTTTTCTCACATCAAATTAAAATTATATGGACAGTCCCTCTCCCCCCATAAGTTTACAGTCTTTTGCTAGTCATCTCTTCTCCTCTCATTCTTTTTGTAGAGCTGAGTGAGCACTAGTCTGTAGCGGCCTTTGTTGAGCCTTCCCAGAAGGAAGATGCCTTTGTAATAATGAAAGACAAATATGAAGAGATCAATACTTGGTGTTGAGAAACACCACAATTTCAGCAGTGCGACTTACTACCAGTTCCAAGGGCTGTGTCCTTGGAAACAAGTTCGGAAAGCATGCCCCAGAGGTCAAGTTGGGATAAAAACACACATTAAGATTAAAAGAGCTAAAAATACATCATGAACTTGTAGCCTCAACTCTACCAATAAAGGATAAAAAGTTTATGAAAATGATGGAGCACAGTAAAATATGTTGATAGGACACACAATGTGTTTCAGAAGGTAGCCAAAGGACACTGCTACATCCCACCCACAGCAAAACCACCCATAATCTAGCTTTTCCTGCCAAGACACGAACTCTTGTCCAAGCTATCGGTTCACATACTCCTTTGGGCTGTAAGCAGGCTGTTTGAGGACACTGGAAAATGCTATCCATTCTCTGAGACTGCACTTGCCACGTCAGATCCCCAGGCTATTTTTCACACTTACAAGTGAAAGGTTTCATTGTATTTGGGAGCCCAGTTGTTGCTCTTTGACTTGGTTGTGAACTTCCTCTTCTTGTCACTCTGATGGGGCCCAATCATGGTGATTTCAACAAATGGACGGAACATGCCGGACGTTTGCCACTTCAGGTCATTGGCTGCCACAACTGGAAAAAAGAGTCACAACCTGTTTTACAGTAAATACTAATTTTTTTCCCATTGCTCTGGACACCTTTCCACTCCGCTCTGCTTTTAATTTCTTGTTTGAGAGGACAAAGTCCTACTCAGAACACGCCAATGTCCTGACACACATGGGCAGGACTTTTCTGTAAATACAAAGATACACTTTTTTGCTCTAGTTTAAGTTCTGTGAAGGTATTTTTTTTAATGCTTGGGGCAGCACTCAGCTTTTGCCATATGTACAGTTAAGAAATTATTTTTTTTTTTTCCCTGCAGCTGTCCTGCCAGTTCAGTGCTTACCTGTACGTTATGTGTGGTATGAGGAGAGAAAAAAAGGGGCATTTTATGGGCCAATATTAAGGTCTCTGCTGAAAAGAAAAATGAGACTGCAGGTAAGACAAAAAAGCCCATGAGCTGCGGGTGGCTCCAGAACCAGGAATTATTAGGTCTTTAATTCTCATTCTCTCCCAGGTCACTGCAGGGAACAGACTGAAGCACAGGAAATGGCTCTGTAAATCAGTTTTTGCATTGCAGCGTAGATTTAGCCAGAAGAAGAGAGGTCTGAAGAGCTGTTTATATAAATCTTTAGAGGAAATTAAAGTAGTTAAATATGCTATATTTGAGCAAAGGAGATAAAGGAGGAAGACGGAGCCTGGGATGAATCACTGCTTTGGTTATTTTCAGAGCAGCACTTCAGGGACCAACGTGGCCTACAGGACGAGGGAGAGGACCCTCTGAACTCCTACCAGCTCTGCGATCTCTTGATTTACAGTAAGCAATTTTGCAACATGGCCCTGTCATGCTGCTCTGTTCTTTGCAGCACAGGCTAAATTGTGGTGCCTAATGAGAGCCATCATCTGATTTTTGTTTACTTTATATATCATTGCCAATAAACAACAGGACTGTACATTGCCATGTCACTGGCTGGACAAGCTCATGAGCTGTTTCTCTACATGTCCCTGATGTGAAACAGAGAAAACAATTCTGGCTTCACATCCCATGAGCTAACACTGAAATATAATGACTGCCAGCTGGAGCTTTGCCTCGACACAGTCACAGAGCCTGAGCCGTAACACATGCTTAGCCATACCTTTCACTGTGACCTTGTGTTCACCAGTTCCTGGGTGGGTATACAGGTCGATCTGTATGGACACTTCACCCACAGGATCATCCACACCAGAACCTGTTGGAAGAAAATTGACACTCCCTGTGCACACATTGTTTATTGGCACCCATCTTTGGTTTATGGCCTCAGCAGGACAACTGCATTTTCACGGCTCCATAGCCAGCTTTTCAGTCAACACCAATAATGTTGCATCAATGCAAAATAACATCAGGCTTGCATGCCCAACACGCATAAACACTAACATTTTTTGCACTCCCCCATTAAGAGTGAATCCTTTTGAGAATACTAGTAAGAATTTTAGAATTTAAGAGACCTAAAGCTCGATAACGGACCCTCACAGAGAGCAAGGATTTTTCAGAAGTTCCTGCCAAGCTATTGTGTGCACATGCAGGCATTCCAGTGGTGGGCATCGGCATTCTTGTCTGCTCAGGGAAGACAGAAGCACAAAAACCCCAACAAAACAAACAAAAAAAACACACCAGAGAGGAAGTTAATGGAAAAAAAGCAAACAAAGATGTTAGTGATTTTCACTGAGCCATAGTGCAGTCTCACCCTCTAAAAAGTGTTTTCCATATTGTACATCAGATAAAAGTTGTCATCCTGACTGCCTATTTGCTTCCTTCTGGAGGATAATGAGGATCCCTTCACTCTTGTGCACCAAAAATTATGAGAAAGAAACACTCACAACTTGTATACTTATATCCCTTCATCAATTAGCCATGGAGAAAACAAGATGTAGCTTCATAGAGGAAAAGATAACATGTTGTAACAGAAGGAAAAGATCTCGTGAACCTTACAATTTGTGTATTACGATGTTTTCAACTTTTTAACTTTTTATCGTAATTGTCATGTAATATGTGGAAATGACATTTTTCTGTGTAGGAAAGTCAAGATGTCATGTAAATTACAGAAAAAGACTGCTTTGCCAAATGAAAATGAAGTCTTTGATAAGATAGTGAGATTGATTTTACTTTTTCTTTGATAACTGTCTGATCTCAGGTTGACAATTAGCAGTGCTGTTGTAATTGGGATACCTACAGGGTAATTGAGTACCTATGAACAGCAGTGTTATTTTGTCAGTTTTGAGGCTAAGACATTACCAAGTGAAAGAATTGGTGTGTTTAAAAATCAAGATAAGTTGCCCAAAGGATATCATTAAACAAACATTTTGATCAGATAGATCTAATGTGCCAGCTTTCACAAGAACAGTCTGCAGGCAGCAAAAACACTAATTTAAAAAACAAGAGTTTGAGAGCTAATCTGTGCAATTCCCTGAAGAGAATTACATGGCATAGCAGAACTGTAGGCACTGAAAGTGACATTAATATACAAGTAAAAGCAAACATAACAGAACCTCAAATTATTCTCTTAGGGTAGATTCTCATTCTTGACCCGAGTACAATAAACAACCTCTGGCTATAACATTTGTACATGATCTTGAATGTACTGTTTTTTCACAGATTAGAAGGGCAGGGTTCCCTCTTCCCTGTATATAAGCACAGAGTTTTAGAGTCGGTAGGTTTAACTAGTGACCTGACCCATCTGATGGTGCAGGCCTGTCACTTATAGTATTAGCATATTCCATGGGAACAGATGAGATTACCAACAGTACATAACAACTTTATCAGGCCACATCTGCAGAAACATCAGCTGCCAAACACTCTGGTCTTCATTTTACTAATCTTCAGTGTAATTAATAGGTTATAAAGGAGACACTGATGCTTCAGAGGAATGACACCGGAATCAATCATCCCACTACCTTTGAGAAAGACAAAATTGAGATTAATTTTTGTTTCTACCTTCATTCTTGTCTATTTGTACAAAAATCTTGTTCTATTAACTGAAATATTCAGAGACAAAAAAACCCACTTTGTAGATGGACAATGAAATATATTCTGATCACGTACAACCGTGTGCATACACATGCTTGCACATTTAGTGACAAGCAGATTCAAATCTTGACATGGAAGTCTCATTGGTACTGTGATATTGGAAGGTGAAGCTGCAGAACTGAGCTCGTGCAACGTGTTACAGATGTATTTCACCTAAGATAATGAAAAGACTTTGGACAACAGAAAATAAACTGAGAGATGAAACACAACAAGACTTAATTTTTTAGGGCTCTCCTGAGCACCCAGACCTTTAGGTATCCCCCTTCAAGCCAGATGTTTCAAGCTTGGCCATAACCTTCAGTGCATATCAGACATTACCATGTATTACAGTAGCTCGTCTCAGCAGACCGTATGCATGCAAGTCTAGGACATAAAACAGCAATACATTGCCCATGGTAAAGGGTAGGGAAACAAGTCCACAGCATCTCTCAAAAGACAGTCCATTTTTGAGACAGCTTTCACAACCCACGAATAAATCTGAAGCCTGGGGACAGGTTAGTGAACTAGGGAAGGCAGGGTACAGACTTCTACACCGTGCAACCTGTGGCTCTGTCTGTGGGATGCAAGCATTCAGTGAAAGCCACTTCTACAGGGAGCTAAAGGGAACGCGTCTCTGGAAAAGGTTTCTGAGCATGGGCAAGACGACTTCAAAAGTAAGGCAGTTGGCTAATGTTGTTATAGTAACAACATTAGTCTTGAACATACCCTTATCAGGAAGAACGTCCTCATTAGCGGTAAACCTAATACCTTTCCCATCATGCACTGAGACATGAATTCAAAAGGCAAGAAGCAAGCAGGATAAAGAGAGAAGGGTGTGAATTACAATACAGTTAGCAATGTCACTTAAACACATACAAGACAAATATTCTAGCTCTTAATAGACAAAATATCCTCTTAGATCTTCTGCACCAACATAGGATTTGGAGAGCTAGGTTGTCTGCAAGTAATGAATTGTCTGGGTTAAAACAACACCAGAATTTGTGCTGGCATAACCAAACTGCAAGCTTTGATCCAACTTTGCAGAGCAAACACTCAACAGCATAATGCCACAGAAGCCTGCTCAGTAAGAAAATGAGAGTAATAGATAACCTCATAACTCCAATATGCAACCATTGAACAGTGAAGTAAGAGAGGCAAACAGCATTTAAATAGTTCTGCATGCAACCATTTCCTCTCATAGGCTTGTGGGAAGCTTGACTTATGAAAAGGGAAATATCAAAGAGCTCTGGTATGCAGATGCCAGCTGTAAATACTAGTGCTGTCCCTTCTGTCCCTCCAACGCCTATGTAGATCTCCAAAACAACCTAACAATGGGGGTTACTGAGAAGTGTTTGTAAGCAATATCCTTTCCTAGCCCAAATCCCAGGAGCAAGTCATGGCTTCTTCAGAGATATTCTGTCATTGATCCTACATATATAGATGTCTTTTTTTCCCCAAACAGAGTCCAAAACTCTGAAGCCTGCTAATGTAGAAGATTCTGATTTGCGCCAGCTCAGTCACCTACCACACCCAGTACCTGTCTCCTAAGGCGGCTCAGACAAGCCAAGCCACAAAGAAATGTCACAGTCAGATATGAGATATAATTGATGACCTCATAAAAAGTGCTTCTCGTGTCCTGAAACTAGAGCTTAATTCTTAGGCTTATTTTAAAAAAGCTTATTAATTAATATAATAATAAGCTTATTAGAAAATAAAAATACTCAACACACACATACTTCTGTGGCAACTTTTTCCTGCTGCTCTCAGATTATGTTCAATCCTCTTTGTGCATCTGCTGAACACTCGCCCTAAGTGAGTTTTATAGTCAAATCATGCATTGCATGAAGATGCTTCTTCGTATCAGCTTTGAATTTGCCACTTTGCAACTTCAACGGAGCACCTTCTTCCTCTAAGTTTAAACACTCCCAACTGTAGCATCGAGCGTAGAACAGCAGTGCTGCACACATCCTTATATTTTGACTCAACACAACAACATAATAGGATCCTCATAAAAAACTAGTTTCAGTTCATGGTCTGTATATGTAATGGGAAACATCTGCCATAGAACAGCGAAGATTAAAACCACTGTACACACAAGTTCCCAGTTAAAAAGTCTTTCATGTAACTCCACTAGCAACAGCCAAGTTCCTGGAGTCCCTTCTGTATGTAGCAGTCTTTGACCTGTCTGGCCACTGGATGTCATCGTTGCTCTGCTGAGACCATTCTCTCAAATGCAGGTACTGACTGTTTAGTTAACTTCAGTGTTTTAATGCAGTATATTTCAACCTAAGCAAGAACATTGTGCTGCTAAAGACAGGGATGATTCAGTCACTCAAAACTACACTCAACTTTTCACTTTAAAACTTCAAAAACAACACCTTGTTCTGCTCATGAATTCTCAGTACTTTCTCCACTGGTTGGGGAACGCCAGAATCAAGCAGTCTCATTTACACGCAAGGGAAATGCATGTTGGCTAAGGAGTGCTTTCCTCTTGATTTCAGGGCTCAGTGTGACAGTATGCTGACAGAGTTATTATTGTCTGTGGGGTTGCCAGCTCTCATAGGCTTGGATGGATTAAAGGAAATAGGACCCCAAGCAAAAAGATGTCTGAAAGACTCCTCCATGGAGCTGTATGACCTCTGCTGATGAGATGCAGTAGCCCAATGCCAATGCTTCCATTTAAGGAGCCTGAAAACTGAACATCAGTTTTGGTTTTGACCTAACCTCTAACAGCATCTCTCCCCTCTTCCTGAGATTAATGAGATTCATAGTCAGCCAGTAAAGGGCCCTGACTAAAGACCAAATTATTCTGTACAGCAATCTGGAGATGTTTACACGAATGCAGTGAAACTGTTTATCCCTTCCAAACAAATGAAATAGCACCACTACCATGCCTTCCCAGAGAGCTACCAAAGAACTCCAGTGACCCATGCCAGCAGCTTACTAATATGTTGTGGTGATTTATAATAATCTAGCTTGCACATATCCTGTACTTTTTTGCAGACAAAACAGTGCTTTCATTGTTCTCCCAAGAGACTTTTCCCTTTACGGGCTGCATGTAGCTCCATGACTCATCACATTGCTGTCACTCAGCCTTAGTCAGGACAACACGAGCTGCTGGCAGCTGGCCTGTGCCACAGGCACCAACTAGTTTCTGTGGTGGTGTCTTGCTGAAATGGTCTGTCACACCACCACGTAAGTCTCAGTACAATAACTTCAAATTTCACTTAAGTCACCCACCCACAATAATTCATGAAACGTGACTGTTAAGTGAGGATCACAGAAAAAAAGACCACAAACACTCCAGGCCTTATGTTTCGCATACTTCTCCTCTCTTAAAATGCAGTTGTTGAGTGGGGAATAACCCCGTTTCCCTCCTTCCCAGTACCACAAGCTCTGAACTGTCATGTTTCCAGAAACATTACTGCGAAAAGCACTCTACAATCTGGCAGTACAAGACAGAGCAATTATGAACAGAGCTGATAGCTCCATTCAACTTTGCCAACAACACAAAAGAGTCTTACCCTGAGCTGTCTGAGTCTGGACAAAGGTTTTGATGAGAGTGTCTGTGGTCTGAGTGTAGAGAGAGAGAGCATATCGAAGTGACTGCAGGTCCGGACTCTTCTCCAAGAAAGTTTTCTTCAGACCATTTCCACCAGCATGGAAATATTGCTAAGAGTAAAAAGTCATAGAAAAGATACTGAAAAAGAACTGCAACCAACAACCTACATTTATGTGCTATTGTGTGTGTGGCTGGGAAAGAACTGTAAAAATTCACAAAACAGCTTCTCTACCAGAAATCCAGCTCTTAGTGGAACAACTGATACCAACTGCTCAAGGCTTTCCTCTCCCAAAGCACTTAGATGTAAATATGCTGGCTCCCAGCACATGCTAGTCACCTGACCCTATTCGGGTTTACACGCACACAGCAGTATCACTCACTTGGTGTCTTTATTGCTCTAACAGCAGCGACAGACTCCTGCCATCTCCTGAACTGGGACAGGCACTATCCTCCCAAATAATATTTGGGGATAGAGCAAGGGAATGACAGAGACAGAAATGGAATCACTTACCTTGATTGTATCCAATGCCAGATCCAAAACAGCACACTGCTTTGGGGTGAGACTCCTAGTTTCTTCTCTCACCATATGATCCTGCAAACAACCATTATATCTGACATGAGTATGCTGTCAGAGACTAAAGGAAGAGGAGTCCCCGGTATCATCACTTTCTCTGGATTCATGCTGTGGCTATGTGGCCACAGCATTAATTCAGCTGTTTAAGGAACACTTAATGGAGTCTCTCAGAGGCATTTATTACAGTTTAACTTGAAAATAGACCCACTTGCTCTGTTACTTGCAGGCACAGATGAGAGAAATAAGGAAAGGAACTGGAAAGAGATAAGTGACAATTTAAAATCACAGTTTGACTCTCAGAAAATCCAAACAGGAGTTTGCTTGCTACCTCTGTCACTCTAGACCAGCCACAACAAAACTCTCAAAACACCACTTAAATCAAGGAATTTTGAGAAATAGCTATTGGCTCAAGCTGTTAGATGGTGTTTGTGGATTTTTGAGTTCTTCCATGTACAAGTCACTCATTCATTAAATCATTGGTGTAGAGGAATAAAAACAAACAAGCAAGCAACATGTTCTAGAAAATACCTTTGCTAAAGGAAGTTGTTCTCATTAAAACGTACTATCTCTAAAACAAATAGCCAGGAATCCCTTGGAAAGAGATTCCCTTTCCTGCAATGGGACCATAACCCTGTTAGACTCCTGCCTGACTACAGGGATGTGCCATCCTTTAGTATTTCACTAAGCTCCTTCTTGCTGATGCTTAGTCTAGGTCTCAGGGAAAAATAGCACACTCTAGGAAGTCATAGCTTTGCACAAACTCAAATTCTAACTGTTTGAGCTGCTGGAGGGTCAGGCCAGCTGACTGCAGCCTGGGTGCTGACGCATTCATGAAAAGATGCAGGCAAATCAAGCAAAGGCCATTTATCCCTACTTTCAACATGTCATAGCCTCTGACAAGAGACACTTTCTGGGAGACATGTCTACTAAATAGCCTTTGAGTAAAGCATGTCTAGTGTGCGGTATCATGTGTGCATTTCATGCTGATAAATCTGCTGAGTATCTTGCAGCCTGGTGATTCCTCACATTGCCTGGTGCAGTTCCCATCCATTATTACCCAACACCTCCTGCCTCATGGAGAGGGGGCTTACAGCAGTCTGGGCGCAGTGCTAGGCATTCGCCACGCTTCTCACGGACATCCAGCTAGCACCTTTGCACAGTGCTGCATTAAACTGTAAAAGAAGATCCCTCTGAAGTCACCAGTACCTCAGACAAGTTTGCACTGTGCTTTCCTGAGTCCTAGAGACATGCCTCAGCTTCCCTCTTTCCCCCACACAGGCTACTCCAGGTCTGGGGACCTACGTGCAGTGGTGCAGTACTCTGTAAGCTGCAATGTATCTTCCAACGTGACAAACCGTCCTTGGGGGAGCAAGAGCTCTCCCCCCTCTTCTTCATGAGCTTGGAGTAATTCAATTGAAGATGATGTGGCTTCACATTTCAGTACACAGAGGGCAAAACATTCTTTCTCTGTCTGACAGTCAGGTTAAGTGCACAATCAGCCAGAGCCCAAGGCCACATTCATGGGAGAGGCCAATTTAGTCAGGCTAGCTGCGTCCCCACGGCAGAGTGACTTCCATGTCTGTTGAAATTACTTTCTAGGTCTACCTGCCAGATTCCCCACACTGCAACAGAAACCAGGTGGTCAGCATTTTTCTCTTAAGCACCTAAAGAACTCACTCACCCTGCTCTGAGTGGTCACCCAGCCAGTGCCCATGCTGCCACTGCACAGCACCATGTCACTGCTTTCTAAGAGAGCTTCCCAGTGCCATTTGCTTCAACACATTATGTAAAAATAACCTAGTGACTGGACTGGTAATGCTTGCACCTACACACAGAGGAGCCCACAGCTGTCATTCCCCTGTGTACTTGCCCTCTGCAAATCCCACGCTGTTCCTATAAAGGACTGCACAGAGTGCTACCCTGCACTTCCCAGACTGCCACCCAGGAGTAAGCCACAAACATGCCCATCAAATAATTACACAACTTCAAGTAGAAGTAAATAAATTCTTAAAAAAAAGTTTTTTTTCTGGTCTTTGAGACCCATCCTTATATTCTCCACAGGTACTCTCAGGAAAACCTCTGTGGTCAGAGCTTGCTGGTTGCCCTGAGGGCAGCACAAGGGAGAGGTGGCTGCTGCTCCCTGCTCCAGCTGCTAGCCATTAAGCAAAGCAAGCAGGAAGAGTTTAATAATAAACAGGAGGCAGATATGTGGCACCAAGGTGCCAGGTTTATGGTTGGTTTTCTGTGCATTTTAAAATACACTGTGAAATTGATTTGTCATCAGGACAAGAGCCTGTGCTTGTCAGGTCTGTCAGTCTGAGTTTTCAGATGAGTTATCTGATTCACTGGGGCTCTGTTTCCCCTATTCTATTTAAGACAAGTAAAGCTTAAAATCCATCCCATAATTTTCTCAGGTTTTCAGTGGAGCTGCAAAATGCACAGGAGAGGGGCTCTGAAGAGCCATTTACTCATGCCTTCCCTGTTAGCTTCTATGTGCCTGCAAAAAACAAAAGGACAAAAGAAAAAAAATCCATGATGCTTACACAGACCCAAACAATTTACACTCTTGTAACACCTTTACTCTTCCAGAAATTTTTGGATGCAATGTCTGTTCACACCACCTGTCTGAACTAAAGGGTCTCCAGAATTCAGGTGATGGAGTGCTCTCACACTTGTGTATGGCTCTCTCGCCTCATTTAAAATCCTGTGTACCTGGGCTGCTGTAGTCCTACATGTGGATGTACAAATAAAGGCTTGAACACACACACCAGGGCTTGCCTGATTTGCATGATTACATGCATTTCTAGAAACACAGTCCAGAGTTACGAAAAGTAAGCTTTACAGTAACTCTGTAAAGTTTACAGGCTGCTGCTGAGGGATGGCCTTCATCTGACCAGTGCAAATGAAAACTAGCAAAGCTTTCAACTCATTCCTGGCAAAAGGCACTTTGTATATACTAAGAAATTCCAGTAATGAGAAAATATGGAAGAAGTAAAAGATAATAGTGAATGTCACCAGCTATGCCCAAGAATGCAAGCAAGCCACAGGAACTCACAGTCGTCTGTGCACAAACTTGTCCTTGTGGCCTGGGAGGAGAAATGGAGCAAACTCAGAGCTCTCCCCCTTTTGACAGCAGGACTACATGTAGAAGGCAGGAATGGCTTCTCTTCCTCCAAATGAGTTCTTGATGATGTTTTTGAAAGGGGAAGTGGATACTCACAGGAAAAGGAGGTCACATTTGGAGGCTGTGATCCAGCTCCCACACTCCCAGGCTGGCTACAAAGCTCCCCTCTCCTGATTTCTCCCATGGAATTGACACAGAGCCAGGCTGGGCGGGGCTTTGAGCAACCTGGTCTAGTGGAGGGTGTCCCTGCCGATGGCAGGGGGGTTGGAACTTGATGATCTTTAGGGTCCTTTCCAACCCAAACCATTCTATAGTTCTATGATTGTAAGTGCAGGAAGCAGCAGAGGTACTGCAATCCTCAGCGGCCACCACGCCACCAGGGAGGACAGCCTGGCTGTGGGAGTGCACAGGGCTGTCCACCAGCAGAAGTGACTGCTGTTCCCTGCGGAACCACACTTGAAGGATTATATTATGTTGCTGTTAACTGCTATGTAACAGCCTCAAAATGCAGCTGGAGAAAAGTGTGTACATCTAATGACACACCTGCGTGTCCAAATCAATAGGATTGCTAATAAGCACTTCCTTAAATTCATTGTGTACTGTGCTGGCTCATAAACATGTGTTTGTAACATGTGTCTGGCGGGCAAGGGAAGGAGATTGTCGTATAAAGACAGCTGTAATAAGTGCGCAAGACAAAAAAAAAGAAAAAAAGGGAAAAGACGAATGCATTTTGAAATTGCACTCATCACTTATGAGAATGCCCTTTGCTGTGGGAAGACTTCCCTGATCACATTCAGAGACAGAGTTCCCATTCAGCTCTTCCTTGCAGCAGTTTGTGCACTGTGACGCTTCAGATTTAGACCTCCTCCTGCACAATACCTGTTTTGTAGCACAAGTCAAACCACAACGTAGTGCAATTTGAATGTTGCAAAGCGTCACTATTTTCATACCATTCCTGTCGTGACCAGTGAATTAATGCTTGATTGGCTTACGATGAGGTGGTGTGCACTTAGTAATGCTCCTGTCATGCACTGTCACAACACATCAACATAGCCTTCATGCTAAATGCCAGCTTGCCTGTAAAGAGAGCCCACGCAGAACAAATTTACAGACACAGGCTCTCTTCCACAAGCAACAGTTATTTTTGTAATAGTTTATATAATTCATCAATAGCTACCACAATCATCTTTCCGGCTGATATCTCATCATCAGGATCACATAAGGGACTCCCTTTTATACATGGGTATACAGAGGAACTGGCCAGATATTGAGAACTCTACTTTTTTAATTTTAAATTGATATATCTGACTGATCACTGTATCTACAGAAGAGGGAAACTATTTTTGATGATCAAACCCACAATAAAATTTAACAGTTAAACACAATGCTAATGTTAGCAGAATGCATTTAAAAGCACATTTAATGCCTTTAAAAGCATTTCTCTACAAATGCGTTCAGCGATAAACCACTGGAAGCACAAGACATGCTATGAGCTACTACACTTCCATGCTTACACACAAACATTAACACAAGCCATGCAGAACAATACCTTCAACTTTGACAAGTGTCCCAGTTCCTTAGCAGCACTGAAAATCAACTGTGTGCCCTATGTTTGCAAGAAGTTAGAAAAGAAAGGAGGGGAAAAGAAAGATTATAAACAAGCTTTGCATGTTTTTCCTTTGAGCAAGTCAAGTCAGTTCACAGCTAGAACTTTACATAAGCACGGCAAGGCCAGTCACAACAGCTTGACTCCTTGCCAGTTTATTACCTAGTACAAAACCTGGCACTTCCATGGATACCACATTAAGAGCTATTTTGGAGCACAATATTCTGCTAACTGGTTCACTCTTGCTTACAGCAGCCAACCATTTAAACAGGATGTGCCTTCAAATGGATTGCACAGGCCGGGGGAGAAGGCAGTGCACTGGCTTTGTCTCCAAGTGCTCTTCTAGATTTCAAGTCTAAATACACATGAAGACAGCGTAAGACTGGCCAAAGCAAAAGATCACACAACTGGTGACAATCTCTCTATAGAAGTAGAGACCAATTGGCAGGGTGTGGGTAAGCATACATCAGTTCAGAAACAAAACTGGATCTAAGCAGTTTTCGGGTGAAAGATTGGCAAAGAAAGTCCAGTGAATACTACAGCATTGCCTTTATATGTCAAAACCTTGGCCAATGGCTCTTCTTCCCCCACTGTGGCTTCCTGATGCTCTATGATCAATCCAAAAACAAAAAAAGGGAAGATAAACCCCAATGACAGCAAATCTTGCTTCAAGTCACTCACACTCCAGTAAAATGGCTTTTTACATACTTTCTCTGCAATGATTACAACAAATATATTGTTTTCCCCACCACAGCATTTCTCTGTTGTGTAACATTCCTTTTGCCTGGGGAGTTAAGTCCAAAATTCAATGAGAAAACCAAAAGCAACCAAGACAATTCTCCAGTCTCTTCTCCCAGAGATGCTTTATGGCGTATGCTGGAACCTATTTTCTTCCACTTCACTCCTTTCCATTCATCTAATTAATCTTGACTTTTTCTTTAAAAAAGTCACAACTGCCTATTACACCACGCGGAATAAAACCCCAGCCTACTGTAAACCTGGCTATGAATTGCACATCTATCATATAATGAAACTTTGCCCTCCACTTCAGCCCTCTTAGGCTAGTTAGATTTGGGCTTTAGGACAATGACAAAGCTACAGGTGACCCCTCTTCCCCAATTAAACCTCGCCCCCCATTATCTCTCTCAGGAAAGCGTTCAGTACACTAGGAGCACTGCCCTCTCAAAACTGATCTTTGGCTCTCCTTGCTTGTAATTCGTTGTGATGGGTTAGCATTAAAAGTACATGTAAATGCCACCACATGTATCAGTTGAGAAGCACATGGGGGATGTCCCAGCTGAATGACTGAAATAAGCTTCCAGGAACAGATACTGGTGGGTGGCACTTTTCAGTAGGGTCTTTTTTTCTCAGGAAAACACTTGGGAGAAGATGAAGCTCATCTCATTTGGGGACTGCCAGCTCCATGAGGACCACATTTCCCCAAAGGTGTCCAATAAATCAAATTCTCTTTTCCACAGCCCTCCTTCCCACTCCTTTACTACCCTTTTTCATTCCAACAATCTTTTACCGTCCCACTTAACTACAACTGGCATGACTACTCCCCACCCCAGAATCCTTCACACTGGAATGAAGCAAGATCTAAACCCAGAATTATTATATTGTCCTTTGCCCCTGCCTACACCACTCAGCTTGTTTTCTTTGCTGCCTTCTTTGGTATTTGTTGCCTTTTAAGTCAGTACTCCACAGAGCAGAAACTACCACATACCTGCATTTGCAGAGGAGACTCTGCGAACTAGGTTCTACTGCAAATATTTTTCTTTTTTCTAGGATTAAAGTTAACATCAGCCCCACCGATGGGCTCCCCTCAGCAAAAAACTGTCTTTATAGCTGTTGTTGGAGGTAGCAGGTAGCCTTTTACAGAAGGAAAGCAGGCAAGCAGTTTACAGCTGTAACACCGGAAAGACTTGAGACCTGCACTAGGGACACGCTCTGCCCATTGCAACAGAAGTCCAGAAGTGACTTTTTGGATGACGTATTTATTCTTTAGTTTTGCCAGCTTCAGAAATTTCTTTAAGCTGAAAGACTCTGGGACCTGAAATCACAGGCAACCTCTTGATTTGCTCTATCCGTTACTGTCACCTAACCCTCAGGGTTACTCAGCCTTTAATTTTTGTTGAATACAAATCTATACAGAACAAACATTATTGACAGAAGCTCTTGATAATTGATTAAATTAACAACTTTTTGGGGGGAAGAAAGTGCATACAAGGACAATGAACCCAAAAAATAAAGCTTCTGAAATGACACTGGGAGCTTCACTTCCTGCCAGTATCTAATGTGCACTGTTGGAGTACAACTCTCTAAACTGAAAGAGTACAAAATCCTCTCTATTTCCAGTGAGCAAGGTTGAACATGACCGCACACCAGGAGCAACACAGAGATTTTACTGTGAGCGACACCCAATAATCCACCAAGGAACATGGCTTCAGCTAGTGCTCTGGTACCCAAGGGATGCTGCTGTTCTGTATTGATTGGTCATGAAGTTTTTTGATTTATGGGTCTTTTAAGGTTTTCATGCCTGTTGACCACGCAGAAAAACAAAACAAAACAAAAACCACTTTTATAACCTGAATTTTGAAAAAGTTAAGAGAGTAGACTCAAAACACACTAATGTTAACATTTCTTGATCCAGTATTTTCAACCTTCACTGGACACTTTTTTTATTTTTTAATATAAATTTGAACAACATTAACTAGCCTAGATATGTAGTCTCCCTGCTGCAAAGCTTCTAAAGAGGGCAGGTCGGTAACACTGAGCAATACCCAGTGACTTGATATGCTTCAAAGAACAAAAGCTGCTCAGATAACTACTCCTCAATTCTTGCCCGCTAAGAAAATCCACATAAATCAGTGCCTGTATCTGTCAATGTGTCTGCAAGGAGAACTTATTTTACTGTTACATTGAGTTTGTCATCAATGCTGGTACTATCTAATGAACACCTGGACAGCTCCTTCCTCTGCCAAGTGGCATTCTTGTAAACAAGATGCTATACCTCCTCAAAAAAGTTATTCATTCAGGTAAAACATATCACAAAGCTCTACAGACAGCACTTTTTCCAGGTGTTCCTCTAGGGAATGAAAACAAATAAACTTAAATATCAGGTAGTTTTGAGAAAAGCTGCCCACAACAGAATTGATTAAAACATCAAGGATGGAAGAAGAGCAAAAATTTAGTCCTTATTATGAATTGTTTCTGCCTAGCTCTGTGACAAACATAGCTGGAAAAGGGACAGACTTTAGTGCTGCTCTTCCTGGTTCTTCCCATTAAGTTAGTTTCTTCCTGAACTTTTTGGGAACATGAAAGACATCTAAGGTCCACAACACAAGGATTTTCATTTGCTTGTTAATGGTCTGGGCTTTTTTTCCCCTCAGTGAAAGCCTTCAAAGAAGGATCATCAGCTGATTGAAGTCTAATTTCTAGAAGCCAAAAAAACTACACTGATTTATATTCCAAGAGGTTCAGACTCTCACAGCTTAACTGTCCCACTGCCCAGTTGACAAGTCTTTTGAATTCCAGTCCTTTTTTGGAAAACATATTATTACTCAGGCTTATTTTTCTGAGACACACCAGTGCAAGGAAGTTTCATCTGGTATTGTACATTCCTTTCCTAGATTTTTTTAATTCCAACATTCAACAACGAGATCTGATCATTTATTAGCAGCACTTCAGTTAATTTTAAAAACTTTATCATCAGGCAATGTTTGCTACCACCCATTTAAAGTTAAAACTACTTTTTGGCTGTTGTGGTGTATTGAACATTGAGAAAATAGGGTTAAGAGTGGGGATGAAAAAGGGAAAATAATTACCTGTCACTACAGACATCTGGGCACATGCGCACTTCATAGACCATCATTTCATTCAAGGCTAAGAAAGCTTTTTCTCCTCATCACAGAGACAGCCTTGAAATTTTTTTGCTCCTAGCTAGCACAAGGGAGAGGATTCATTTAAACTAACACAAGTTCAGAAAGGTTTCAGAAAACCTCTCAAAGACACACTCTTCTCCACCACAGAATAGCTCTAGAGTGGTGCTGCTTGCAGGTAAGCCTAAAGAATAGCCAGTTGGGAAGTCATGTGTAAAATCTGTCTGCAGCTTAAAAAAAATGTTGTTCTTATCCCGGACCACGTTCTCATTTAGTGAAGAGAACTCTGGTGAATAGAAAAAAAGCACAGCAGCAGCAAGCACAAATTAAGCCTCATGTGAATGGCTGCATCGCACCATGTGAAATAAATAAAGGAGAGGCTCCAGAGTAATCATCTGTGTGTAAATTAAGCAACTCTTCATTGAGCTGACTAGTCACTGATGGCATGCTACAGCTTCATCCTAAGCAGTGGAGAAAGAAATGTATAACTAATCCGTTAATATCCCCAAGCTTTGTGCACTGAACCCGAAAATAAGGATTCCCAGAGAGCTGTGTTTGCATATCCACTCATCCAAGACAAAGAGTATTTAATTAAATGTTGATCTTTACTTAAAACTAGTGAGGTGGGAACTCCTTGGTGAGTTACTGGCGATCACGTTGCTACTAATCTCACAACCCATGGGCAGTCAATGCTCAGAGAGCTAGAAGCCAGCCATCCGAAAGTCATCAAAGGCACTGGCAGCTCCGGTTGTCAGAGTGGGAGGCTGTGAAACTGCCCTGCCCCCATTGCACCCTTCACAGGCAGTAGCTGCCTGCTTTTTCACCTGACCCCCACCCTACACAAAATCTTCCAGAAGCAGCAGAGAATGGGAGAGCAGAGCTCAGGTTTTCTTCTGTGTGTAATACAGGCTGAGCTCCTTTAAGGGGAATGTGGAGAGTAACAGGCATTACAGCACTGCGCAGTGACAGAGTCACGCAAGTGACACGCGAGATACACTGCAGCATGCTGAGAACCTTCTACCTGAGCATGCTTTCCCTGACCACCATCAAAAACACTTTTTCATCTCTAGCAATTTTACAGAAAGGAGAGAAAATATTCTGTTAAAAGGACTCTCTTCTGCCATGAATATCCCCTATGTCTTAAGGGCTGCAGAGGAGTTTTAGGAAGAAAATCCTCATCCCGTGGTCCCTCAAACATGAAGAGACAGAACTAGGGCTTTCTATTGCTGAGGGCAGAGAGGACAGAAAGTTACAGGGCTTGGGGACGTTTCCGAGTCTGATGCTCTCTTTTTTAAGAGCAAGCAAAATTAGGTGAGAGGTGCATGGCAGACAAGCAGAATAGCAAAGAGAAAGTACTGCTTCTACACACACTACCAACCCTGAGTTTTGCCTTGCCTTGCCCTGCCAGCCTTCACTACTAGGATGATGAAAATCTGGTGGTGACAGAATAAATCACTATGTCCCAGGGCATAGTGTAAGCAGCTCTTTGCCCCTGTAGCCCATCTAACCTCACCACAGGTTTCCTGCTCCAGGACTGCAGACAAGACCATTTTAATCACCGCATTGTTCATAACTGCCTTTCTGAAACAGTGACTGCTTTCTAATTTGGACTAGTTCAGCCTCCTCACTATGATACAATTAATTAGACAGCTAAAAATCCAGCTATGAACATTTTGCATTATCTCAGAAAACTGAGGATGTGTTTCATTACACAAAAAGACCTTCTCAATTTGAAACTGAAGTGACGGTAACAAGAAACTCTTTGTAAAAAGCCATTCCAAGTGGCTTATAGCAACAACCTGCAGGTTGAAAGAGTTGGCTGATCACAGTTGTTGCCTGCTTCATGACACAAGCACTGAATCACTCTCCTACTCCTCCTTTAAAATTCAAAACTAGGAAGTATAAAGTTCAAGCAGCTCCTCCCTTGTTCTCTCTGAGGCCCTTGATCTCACTGGTTCCATGCTGAAGGGGTCATGTTAATGCTGCTCTTACATGACAATTTTAGCACCTGTCCCCAAAGACTCCTTTTCAAAGCAATTCAAAGGGAAAGAAATTTCATCCTCTTAAGTTTAGATGGGTTTCTTCTCCTTTATAAATTAAAAAAACAAGCAGAAATGATTGCTCCAAATCTGAGCTCAGACTAAGAAGTCTTTAGCAAATTCACACCTCATGATAATTTTTATGCTTAGCAGGTATGACAGCACACTGCATCTCTGCAGTTTTATCATCATCAAAGCCATAGGCAAGGGCTTTCCCTCTCAGAGCAAGAAACACTTAGTGCAAGATGCAGGTTTCTGTCACTTCTCTAGACACTGCAACCCAAGAAGCTCACTCAAAATATGCAGGCAACTGCAGAACAGTGAAAATCACTATTGTTATACCCACTACTGGGAAAAAATAAATCAGCATAAACCAGCCACAGACCACAAGTTTTCTCCAACAAAGAGATGAAAGAAGTTCTGGATCATCTCCAGATAACTGAGGTTATAGCCCAAACTTCATACTGCTTCCAGCTGAGTGTCATTCACCAGAGCAGCTGCACATGCGTGACAGTTAATCAGTTTCTGTGGATTTTCAAAATTGGGGAAGAGGCTAATCTTCCATTGTTAAAAACATCACTACACTCATGACACACATTCATCCAGCACATCCATACAACTGATAAATTACATAAAAGACTGCCTTTGAAGGCAAACTATCTGGACATAGTGACCAGCTCCCCAGCATCAGAGATACAGAAATCATGCCAGCCCATACTGATGCTAAAGCCTTCTGAGGGGCAGAATAGGGGGTGGCATCATTAAAATGCAAGCCCAGATTAATCACATCTACACAGAGACACCTGACTAATAGATGTCAGTAAGGAGGCAAATGTGCTTACAGGTGTTGATCTAATGCCATGAAGTCAACACTAACTGCCTGATAATCCCATATACACAGCATTCTTTGAAGGACTGCAAACTCCTAATCACTACAATTTTATATACTTGATGGCAGCTCCTTTTGGATCATGGATTTTGAATAATTTTTTTATCTAGAGTGTTCTCTGTATCTTGCAACCCTACTATAAAAAGAGCTGCTCTCTTACTTTACTAGGTTACAGACATATTTTGCCATCCTCGAGCAGGCTACATGCTGACAAATTTACCTGGACAGATGACTCATTAGGTCAAAGAGGTAAGTTACACTTTCTGCTATGAGTCAGGAAGGAGAAAATGCTTTACCGTATGGTCTGTAAGAGGAGGCAGCACAATCAGCTTCTCCATGGTATTCATTACCACCCTCCAGAGCTCTTTCAGCACCCGTTTCAACACTGTTTTTTCACACACAGTCGCAAACAGTGTCAGGCTGCAGGGAGAGAGCAAGAACTGAATAAGTTCACAGAATGCAATTTACAAGGAAAAACGAGATGTGTATGGAAGAAATCAGTGCCCCATCCAAAGCAGTTTGTCATAACAATTGCCTTAAGGCTAAAATCTTCCCTTTTCATAAAGTACAGCCTGTCCTCACCCTTGGAGTTCTAGCACTAAAGATGTCTGGCTAAAATGGATTATTGACATTTCTGATCCCAACCATTTCTATTTACTGACCTGGGGATTACAGAAGGTATCACTAAGTTATAGTGGTTGGGAATAGTCCAAAAAAGAGCAGGTACCCTTGAACTGGTTCCCTTTGAGAAGATCCTGATGTATCAAGTTTACAGAGTAGATAGCAAAAAATTACAAATACAGAATAATAGGTTTTAAACTTGAAGAGGTTATTATAATGATTTTTGTTGAATACCTAGACTGATACTTCTCAGATTGTTAGGCAGAAGTTCCTGCACAGGCTCTGATAGCTGCTGAAGTCTCTAAATCTTTCACCTCCATAACAACCTCAAAACATTTCTTGGACTCCTCTCTATTTTGTTGCAACTGCATTCACCATCAATCGTCTGCCATACATTTATTCCCTTTTATATAAAGAAGTTCTGCTTTATCTCCCTATTTATTAATCTTTTATTATTGTACAGGCTGTCAAAACAGCCAATAAATGTTAGATTCTTCTTCAAAATCATTGTTGGACTTTGGCGTTTACTGATCACATTGGGAGAGCTACAAAACAGGAACGCTGCAGCCAGTAGCAGTGCACAAGTGATAGCTGACTCTTCTACACCATGTAACATCATCTCACAGATTTTTCCCATAGCTGTTTGGACAGTAAACAAACAAAACTGAACAGGAGCAAGACTGATGTGGCTAAGATGCAGGAAGCATTGAAAGACTCTCCTCCTGTAAAGGAGGAAAGAAAATAATCCAGGCTGGGATTATCAGAAACAAAATTACTCGCTCCACAGTTGGATGAAAAGCCACCAGCATACCAAGTTCCCAGTGATACAAAGGAAGGTGGCTTCTCGAGATTCAGAAAGGCGTGCATGGAAAATGCTCACATGGCAGGGTTCCTAGATGTAATGATTGCTGCAGAGAGTCCCTAACTACACGGCGACCCAAAAGAAAGATGGGACAGTCAGTACAAAGAGCAACAAAATAAACAGTATTTTAAACTTGCACAGCTTCATATCCTCTTGCAGCATTTATTACGAAAATCGCTGGCCACCCCTTTCAAAATAAAGATCTGCTGTGCATCAGCAAGAAGTTTAACTTCTACAATGATTAAAAAACATTCGTCTTTGTAGATCAAGGCTTAGCTGATGAGAATTATGTGCAGTTAGACACAAAAAGTCCCTGTACAGCTGAATCATTCTGCATGGTGTTAATGGCAACAGTTAATTAAAGCAATGGATCAAGCTTATGTACAACACATAGTTCAGAAGCTTATTTTTAGTCATAACAGCACCAGGTATGACTAGAACACACATGCTTAACGTGACTGGGATACTGAGTAGTATCAAGTATGTAAGCATGGTTTGCAATATGTTTGCTAATTGGCTATACAATATGTATAGGAAAAAAAACCTAAGCTAGTAAATTTAGAATTTCAGTCTTTCCCACTACCTGATCAGCAGTGTGTTTTGCTGATTGCTACAATTGCCAGAGGGAGAAAGGAGAACTGAGAATGTGCTCTGGCACTGAATGAAGGCTGCAGAGGTGATCTGTACCTTGAGAGAGAGGAAGATATGGGAAGAAAAGCCATTAAGTCTTCCTGAGAATTCAGGCTGGACATCTTGAGAACAATCCAAGAACATGGAGCTGTTTTTCCCTCCCCTAGACTGTTCCCAATCCAATGCACCATATGTGTAACATACATTTGAACACTTGCTTACTTTCCATCCAGGAAATCCATCAATGGCCTCAGGACATTATCTGCATCTTGTGCAACTGTGTTTCTTGCATTAGCAGCAACATTTCCTGTCCCTTTCACTTGACAGAGGATATCAGACATTTGCTTGACACACTCATCAATACGAGTCTGAAAGCTGAACAGATAGGAGAGAGGCAAAAGCAAGATTATCAGTGGCAGAGATCCCAGCTCTAGTACCTAAGGTAAAACACTACAAGTCCATAAATCACACACTCAGTTACATACTCTCCCTCTTTGAGATTTTCTACTCCTTTCCTTGCTGTATTTGTTACTAATGGGCATGCCACCGAGTTCCTTATGCACATCATCCACGGGCAGCCTACCACCTCCGAACACAAGTTACAATCACACTTGAGAGGAGTTTGTTTACTTATCCTCCAAAAGCAAATGATCCTTCCCTGATTTCAAGAGCACTGTTATTCGTAACTCAAAGCACCCTGTGGTATCTTTGCTTTCTATACAGGGTTTCACACCACAGAGACTGGGATTTAGCACAGAGCAATGGCACAATGCAAGCAGAGCTCTGAGCATCCAGGAGTCCATTGGCAGTAATTTGGTTATGACCCGTGATAGGTTAAGTCTGTAAAATAATAGAGACAGCCTGAAGGCAGGAACTAGTCCACTGCCATACAGTCCATGCTGTATCGCAGTGTCAAAATGGGACATGGGGCTCAGCTGTGCAATGAGCAGTGCCACTGTAATGAAGTGACATGCAAGTCATTAAAGGCACAGTTACTTATCCACTTTTACTGCTAAGAAAAGGTTCAAAATGAAATAATACAATGGTTAAAGATGATGAATAGATGAGCAGAGCTGTCAACATATCAAGTCAGCAAATAAAGGTAAATGCTTTGACATTTAAAAGAACAGTTACTAACAACAGGCATTACAAGTGACATTTAGCTATCCACTAACAGCAAAGAGGTTTGAATACAATGAAGTCAGTGCTGGGAGGTAGGGTAAAGATTTAAGAATAGGAACACAGGTCTGGAAGTCAGCTTTATATTTGTGTAAGTGGCCTGAATTTCTGCTGCGTGAGCCACCTAGGACATCTGTGGGTTGGGTGCTAGCATACAACCTCTCTGCCCTGTGGCTCTCACCTTCCTTCTCCACCCTGTTACCGCTTTCTGCTCCTGCACTGCCACCTCCAGCCTCAAGGTCCCTCTCACTTCTAACCTGACTCTTGCTGGAGCAATTTCAGAGCTTTTCCCATTTTTAGGGGAGTAGCGTGCTGCAGCCAATTGTGGCTACAATGACAGTTTAGCCAGAGACATAAGTCACATCAAATAAAATAGTACCAAGCATGTCCTGTACTGCTGACAGTCCCCGTTCTGTTACAGGCTAATCTCACCCCACATTTCTTCCCAAATACTGGATCAGCCATAGGACCCATCTTGAGATGCTCTATATCCCCAGCCAGGAGATGAAAAATAACAGAATCCTTTAAATAATACAAATTAATACAAGGCAAAATTGTCACCAATTATGAAAAATGATAAATCAGTTACTGTGGCAACAGGTTCACCTGAAAGTGAACCTCATGTACTACAGCTAGTAGTAGCTTAACATGAACCCTTGGCACCAGCAATTTAAAAGAAAACTATGCTGTCAGACAGGGCCTTCTGCTCCCTAATTCTTGCAGGAATTCCCTCCTTCAGTCCTACAGCCTCCAAGACCAAAACAGCAGCTAGCCTTGTGTGAAGCATAAACCTTTTCAAGACTTCTTTTCTCTGTAATATCCTTTAAAGCAGAAAATGCTTCCATGTCCAGACATGATCCTCTCTCAGTACAAAGGTGGTGAGGCTCTCTGGATGTGTCCTGCTTTCCCAGCAGGCAATGATCTCACACAGATGAAAAGTTAAGATCTGCAGCATCAGGTGTGCACAGTGTTGTAAGAGCAACTGTTTACAGACTCTGCACAGAATATTGTGGATACCTGTCTTACCTCCCACATTTAAATCCTTTAGAAGATCCTGCTTATACAGTAAACTGCATCTCTACTTTTCATTCCCTATTACTGCTAAGGAATGAGTGAAGCATCTGAGACTGACTGGCTAAATCTCTTGCTGACACATCTCTCTAAAACAGCCCCTGGTATGTATGCTGATACCGAATAATCTCTTTAAATCATATTTGCAAATGCCAAGATTGTACCCTAATTGTTTTGTAGCAGTGACACCATGGAGACAGGTTTCAGATAACAAAATTCACCCCCTCATTGTGATTTCTCACTCATCCTTCATCTAATTATGAACCTTATCGATTCAATTCAGTTACAGTTTGAACCTCCAGATTTCTTGCTATAGCATCCATTACTGGCAATGGCAACTCCTTGCTTATCTCCCACTTAGCTCTGTGTGCTGAAATCCAAATAGCTGCTGACAAATCCCACCATTATTTTTTGGTCATAAGTACTGCAAATCCGTAGACTGTAGGAGGCTAAGTTGGTACAATTTGCTTTACCCCCCTTGCCCATGTTTCAGCTATACTACAGTTCATGACTGCATTGATCTTGTTATAAAGCACAACATGAAATGAATGGGCTTTACAATGAGAAATGGTTGGTTTTAAAGATCAGTTGGGAATGCTGTATTTCTAGATTTTGCTTAATTGACATCGTTTATGGTTCACTACATAATTATTATGGAGTCAAGCACATTTTTGTCCTCAGGTAAAATGGTAACATGATTTGCAATAAAACTTAATTGCCATCTATTACTCTGTCAATACTTTAAAAAGCTCCTCCCCTTGAAACATTAGAAAACACCATTCACTGCAACATTAGAACAAGTCAATATCAAATTCTAAACCTGCTTCCTTCTTATTCCAATATTCATTTAACAATCAGAAATCAGTCAGCCTTTTCATACATTTAGAGCAGAACATTTAAACAAGAATGTTGCTTCATAAACGCTAAGCTGGAAACTGCTTTCTGAGCAATAAAGGAGCAGGCAATTCTGTTACTGAAAAGCACTACTTCCAGAAAAAAATCACTCCATGCACTTCAAACACATTTCATAGTTGAGAAATCTCCCTTTTACATTTCTAAGCAGAGCAATTTAGAAAAGAGAGACTTTAAAAAACATTTATCACTTCTTTAGATGGTCTCAGTATTTGAAGGACCATAAATTCATGACAAAAAGAAAAATATAATGCAGTTGACTTGAGTTTCTTTTCTCTTCTTAACCTGACTGAATGAGATTGGACAAAAGAAAGGGATGCTTCAAGGACAAGGACCTCGTTATACTCACCTGTTACCAAACACAGCACTCAGCTCATCCAAAACATTGTTCAGCTTCACCTGGAGTTCTTTGAGATGGTCACTTGCTTCTGCATCCAACTGTGGATGAAAGAAGAGCACTTAGCTTGAACCCAGAGGGCAGTCTGCTGTCCTTCACTGTCCTCATCTTCACTGTTGAGGCTACTCTTAATAAGCAGATGAACTACCATCACTGGACTCTGCCAGCTGGGATGCTGTCCTCCACTGCCTGTTGCTGTTACATTTGAACCTGTGCTAATGAAACTCCTGGATCAGAATTTTAAAAAATAATTTTTAAAAAAGCCAAGCAAATTATGATTACTTAAGCCTTGTAACTTTAGGCATTGCTAGGTCTGATTATTAAAGTGAATTTGTATTCCTGTTACCATTATAACTCCCCCTCTCTATGAAGGGAGAAGGAAGTTAATGTCATGACAATCAGCAATCATTCTAGCTAAAATTGTAGATAACAACACAAAACCAGCATCTATTGGTGGTGGTTTGTCCTATCCCTACATTAATCCTTCCCTTCTCCTACTGTGTAAAGGGGCAATGAGTCACAAGCTGTCTGGTTTGCTATCTACAACTAATGAGACTGAACAGTTCTCTGATTTTGGCCATTTCTGATAGATTTGAGGCAGGATCAGTTCAAGATTCATCAAAACATTTCAAGTAACTGCTTTTCCAGTTGACAAAAAAAGCCATAAGGATTTGGCACAAGACACCTATTCCTCACTATTTATTTCTACTTCTTTATAAGTTACCAGATGCATGTGTTACAGGTCTAGAGGACATCTGAGGATCAACAACCTATTGCCCCGGTTCATAAATCATGCAGTTAATGCCTTGCTTTACTGTGAGGTGACATGGAGAGCTCACCAACTACCCCCAAGCTTCTCCTTGTTATTGTATTTGTTGTCTGTAAACTTATCTCCTCAAGAGCAGAAGGAAGGCTGATTGTCAGCCCTGTACTGCAAGACGGGACAGCTAGAGCAATGCTTTGCCAAAGGGATGAGCTTCATTATCTGTGGTGAGGAACTCTTTCTCATCCAGAACACCAGCTCACAGCCCTCTGGGTGCAACTGGCAAGAGAGCTGCCCAGATTTAACTTTGGCGTGCCCAGCCTCACTCTCAGGAAGTCAACCCCTGGTGGTAAGCATTCTGGTTCAGTATCCACCACGTTCTCTGTCATTCCAGACAGCCTGTTGTCTTCTGAGCAACTTCTGCTCTGGAAGGAGGAGTCCACGTAATACATTACTGATTGTTAATGCATATGTATTGGCATGCTTTAGCTTGAAAGCATATTTCAGGGAATTACCTGAGCGTGATTTAAGACCATTAGGAAGGTGGCAGTAGGTGTGCACTAGTGTTTCACATATATAAATTACACATCAGTTACAGAGTCCCTGTAGCTCCTGGTGTAACTGCAAACTGCTCTTTGCCAATATTGTGAAACTGATAACAGGGCTCAAATGAAACAGCGTAGATTTTGTTGTTGCTACTCAGCCAATGAATTCTAAGCACATCAGCCATCACTGATAGCAGGAAATGCTACTTGGACTGCATGATAAATCTGTCTGGTAAAGCAGAAAACAGTGTTAGGCACTTGGGTCACTGCCACATGTCACATCCAGACCATTTCTATTGGAAGCTGGAGCTCAGCAGGCTTATGATCTCCATTGTGTGGGTGTAATGGAGATGATTCAGAGGAAGAAAGCTAATGAAAAGTTCTTGTGCAAAACACAGGACAGTACCCACAGTGAGGTGTCTCCTGATCTCTGAGCAAGTGCTCCAATTCCAGTGGAAATAATGGCTGGCACAGCCATAGTTCTGTGGTTGAGACTAAATGTGTGACACAGAAAATTGAGGTACAAGCAAAGAGAGAAGAGGTAACCCTATATTTACATTTCAGGGAAGAAAGCAGGACACTCTTAATTTCCTGCAAATATTTGGGACTTGGCACTTCAAGAATCTGGGCCTCGAAGTCTCATCCAAGTATATTCAGGGCTGGAACCTCAAGTTCTCTGCTAATCTGAATGGTGCCATTTACAGCATAGTGCTATAAACTTTAGGTTGATCTCCTGCTTCTCTCATGGATGAAACAGAACCCATTTGCTGTGATGGGCTTCCAAGTTTTCCAGATGTCATTAGTTCTTCTTTGATTTCTACACATACTGGTAAAGCGTGAGCAACGGGAACTGGAAGTCTCCTCTATAGCTGTAGAAACATAGCTCTTGACTTCTAGAAGGCTGAGGATGTTAATCAATTCACATTGTAAAGCCAGAGAACCTGTGAAATAATTGGTTTTGATCTAACATATCAGCAACTAGAGAATTTTGCCCTGCTGTCCTATTTTACCTTTATGTAAGTTATAGAGTTCACTTGGCTCCAGCTTTTAGTTGCTGATTTTTGTTCTGCCTTCCTCCACTGGCCCCTGGGAGCTCCTCTCTGCAGAGGTAACTGCGAGGCAGGGAGCTCAACAAATCCTACCTCCCTTTAGGGACTCACTTGCACTGAATTTTCATGCATCTCCCCACGTTCCTATAGGATTCAGGAGTTAGGAACTTGGACCGCTGAATCCAAACAACAGCTGCCAGCCTCTCAAATACTAAGGTGGCCTTAGCTATGACATGTGAGATGCTAATGAGGACCAATCAGTAGATACCACAAATCCATTGAGAACATTCCTATCAAGTCTTGGCTGTTTCTAAACTGTCCTGCAATTTGTTATTCAAGTGGCTAACTTGGGATTTAAAATGTGAGCTAACCCTGGCTGACCATTAAGAGGAGAGTTTTCTGAAGCATTAATTGTACAGATTAGCTTGAAACTGAAGGCATGAAAATTGTATTATGACAATCTGCTGCTACTCAGCAGCTAATTCTTTAGGTTCCCTAGGCAGTGTTTGTCTCTGATACTCAGCCCACATGCTTGACTTTGGGGGAAAAAAAAAAAAAAAAAAGGGCAGAAATATGTTAAGCTAGGCTTCATAGCACATCTGGAATCCAGCAGTGGGCAATGTAGTACAGCACCTTTTAATTTCAGTGTCACGAGCTCATAACTCATGAAAAGCGAAGCAAAATAATGGACTGCAGAAATAAATCTCTCTCAAGGAAAAGAGAAAGGCTCATTCTGGTGTCAGGGATAGCACACAGACCAGGCTGAAGTCTGCAGGAAAACTGCAGAAGAGGGTAGAAAATGCAGGTCACATTAGGTTTTATTAGATAATGTATTAATAAACAAATAAATGGAGCCAAGTTCAGGCAAACACTAGCAATGAATCTATATAGCCCACTTCATCACAGAGCTAAATTACAGTCTCCATTCTGTGGGTGTACTAGAGCTGAGTCAGAGGAATCAAAAGGCTTAAAAAAGTATTCACGTACCCAGCTTCTGTCCAGGACTGACCCCCAGATTCCACTGTTCATTATGCTTTTAATGCTACCTGCCACTCCATAAACACTGCCTTTATAAAACGTGCTTCAGGAATGTCTGAGAGTGCTACTGAGCCACACTGAAGCTGTTCTGATCTTGTGAGATCAACGCAGCTCGGAAGGGAAATAAAAATATTAATTATAAATCCTAAAAACCATCTCAGATACTTCTTTCTCTGTGTCTGTCTGTGTGTATATATATATATGCCCTGAGATCTCAAGCACAGACCTAAGAGAATCCCTCCACAGAGAGCTCTCTAAAGTCCTGCTGGTGTCCTTATTGTTTCTGACTAGTAATGTTCACGGACCGTAGGACACCAAAACATTAAAATCAGAGATGCTGGGCAATTCTTGCCCTATTTTGTGCCTTCTGAGTACTACAGCTGGAAAAAGAATAAGTGAAGTGGGTGCCAAGGTATCATTCCTCAACTGGAGAAAAAAAAAGTAAAGGAAGGCACTATATCAAAGAGCCCAGTCTCAAGAAATAGTCAGGGGCACGCACTTTTATTCCCTGTTATGCCATTACACTGCAGTATGACTATGAGTGAGCGCCGTCCCTTCATTTCCCTTGATGCAAAAGGGAATAAGGGATATGGATTTCAGCAGGTGTGCGTTTTGGACCCACTGGCAGAGAGCGCTAGTTAGTAGCAGTACTTCAAAGCATTCCAGAGTGGTGCAGTGCTACAGCAGTAGATGGAGACGGATCTGTGAATCAGAAGCAGATGAAGCCACAAGTGCACAGTAACTGAAACCAATCCCCAAGTTCTGGCTTCACAAATGGTATATCCAACATATCTGCCACAGGAACAACGGTATATTTGGTACCTAGTCCTCAACGTCAACTTTGAGAAGACAAAAAGGTGAACAGTTCAAGATGACCAGGACATACCACTATGCTACTTTCTTATTCCCCCAGGGAAGCAGTTCCTTTTTGGGTAGAGAAGTCAGGATGATGCTTACATTTGTGCAAGCTACTGTGTGATGTATAGATGGATATATATCAAATCTGTCACAGAAAGTAAGAACTGTCCTTCCTGAAGGAGTAGATAAGCCCCACAGGTGCATTTCCAGCAGTATGTTTGTCTACATGTTCTAATTTCAAAGCTGTTGTTACTCACTAGCCAGGCCCAATCTACATCAGAAAAAGGACTACTCAAACTATGACAAGACCTTGTTTACTCTAGCAAAACAGAGGCCCTGGCAGGTTTCAAGTCATGAAGCAAAGTACAACATAGTCACCAAGAGGGAAACCCCTGAGGATAGCAAATAATGCAGGCACTAAACACAACACGATTTATTTCTGGTGATCAGTGGCAGCCTAACGAAGTGGACAAGCAGCATTTGAAAACAAAAGAAAAAAAATCACTTCCAAAAATCAGTTTCCTAGTGCGTTTGTTTCCTGTGTGTTTTATTGCTCACAGTCTGGGTTCCTCTCCCCTTTTCTTTTTTTTCTTTTGATTCCACAGTGCAGGGGAAACAGTGGATTCATCACCTCTGTTCTACCTCACCTAGACCTCCTGAGGAAGGTTTTAAAGGGTAGAATGTAGAGAAGAGGTCTAGGCTAGGAAACGTAGCTGACAGTCTTAACAAACACTTTTTTTTCTCCCCCCTGTTTAACACACTATCAGGTGATACTCTCAATTTGCAGGCAGTATTTTCAATTTGAAATATAGTGAAACCATACTTAATGGCCACCACTATGGAAAAAAGTAGCAAATTTATTCCTTAAGGGAAATAAAGTGCACATAGATTAAAACTTTATAAACCACTTCACAAACATTTCATCACAGGTTTACTTTTTCCTGAAAAATTAGCATTTAGCTACCACTGCTATTACAGCTGGGAGCATATAGTTCTAATTCTTGACATAGGGCTCAGAAATTAGGATTGTTGAGATCACATGTGAAAGAATGACAGCAGCTTTTCTTGCCTTATGGGGTAAATCTATTTGGTGAGATGTTTGCCACTTCACAGAGTTCTGCCACTGAACACAAGAAAGATCTGAAACAGCAACACAGGCAAAAACTGAGCTGCCCATCAGCAAAGCTGACTTTCCTCTTAGCACACAGGTCATAGCATAGGTTCTACCACAACACAACCAAAGGGGATGAACTTAGGCTTTGAAAATAATCTTTTCCTAACATCAGCATCAGCAGCCTTTTCTTCATCTTCCCGATTCTTGAAAAGCAATGAAAAAAGAAGAGGAGAAAACAGATGCACCGATTATATCAGAACAGACAGAGTGATCTGAGGGGGTGGGAATTCTTCTGTAAAAATGGCCATCTCAGAACAAAGAACAAAAAGTATTTATATTCATGGACACATCTGAGTATCCAACAAAGCATGCGTACAGAACTCCTATTTGCATGTCTGCAATGTAATAGATATTGGACATTTAATGCCAAAGGTATTGTCCCACATTTATATGTCACATAAAATGACTTGATGTCAATAGTTCTCAGACCTATCTGTCTTCAGAGCTGTGAAACCACCAGCCACGCCTACATCCAGCCCACATGAACACAGTGCATATCCTTCTCTTTCCTCCCCCATACTATTCTGTGCCTTGAAACATTCACTCCTGAATGTTATGATAAATTTTGTTGGAAAATCTTCAGGCATGGCTGTCCCCTCACACTTCTTGTAGTGCCAGGTGTCACAGGGCTCTCCTCATGACTGCAGTCTGCCAGCACCAGTATGATGCAAGTAACCTAGTAACAGTGCAGTAGGAATGAGTAATACTCAGTCTCTTAGCACTCTTACCTCTTTACCACCCATGGCTTCAAACATCTTCTCTAGCTGCACCCTCAGCTGTTGGATGTTATTCATCAGGATGCAGGGCTGAAGAGACAAAAGCAGGTGCCTGTTACTGCTCAGGATGGCAACACACTTTCACCAGAGGTACAGTCTGTGCCTCAACACCCTTCCCCAGTTACCCCACCAGATCTTAGATTCCAACAGGAGGTACAGCATGCACAGATTTCAGCACTCAAACCTAAAAAAGACTAGTCATTTTTTTTCTCCAGCTTGAAATAGGATGGCCAGTTCCAGAAACCCTAGATCAGGGAGATCTCTGCTGTTGTATTTTCCTCCTCAGCTTTACCACAAACAGAGAACAAACTGACAAGAAATTAGTGCCAGGACAAGGCCCAACTCCTCTGCAGCTCCTGCCATGCCCTGCAAGTGTCCAAGCTGTGTCACCCTGAGCCTCTTAATGCTGCAATCTACTATTGTGCACAGCATACATCCCAGATCAGAAGGGGAACTGCCAGCCAAAGCTGCATTCCGAGACACATCTGGGTCCTGCCAGGCCAAGCTTGGAAGCAACAGTCAAGGATAGCCTGAGCAATAGTCTCTTCTGTCTGTGGTTACATCCCCAGTACAGGTGCAGGAGACAGCAAAACTGGCACAGGACAGACACAGGGTTCAAAAATGTAAGACCCTGTTTTATTTCATACACAGAATTTTGCTTAATTCAGGATTAAACAGCAAGATAATTAGATGGAGAGAACAGTAAACCAAGTGTGCTGCTGAGTACCAGATCTACAGAGCAACTTGTGCCCATCTTTTAGGGTTTTTTTGGGGTTTTTTTTTTTGGTTTTTTTGGTTTTTTTTTTATCACTTCTGTGACACTCAACCCAGACAGGAAGAGTGGAAGTTAATTTCAAGGGGACATGACAACCTCTCTAAGCCCTGCAGATCACCCTCAAGACCCAGTTTTATTTTATTGCAAGGACAGAATTCAACCCATAAAAGCATAAGAATTATGACAAAAAAAAAAAAATATTTACACCATCAACATGGTCAGGCGCAATGCAAGAAACTTGTGTTTGTGAGGAAAATTATGTGATTCCTCATGGCAGAAGAGAAACTCAGCATAACTCACCACTTTCTCCTTGGAACAGTAGGACTGGAAGCTCTTGGAGAGGATGTCAGCATACTGCATCAGCACTTTCCCAATAGTCTGTGAAGACAAGATGTGAGCACTGTTACTTGTCCTCTATCACTCTAGAGGAACTCCAGGCAATAAAACAAACAAAAAATCATACTATTTTGCATCCCACTGAGGGAGAGAAACAGCTGGATGCTGAGGGTGTTACCTTAGCAAACCTCCTATTATAATGAGCAACGATGATGGGGTCTGGGCACTCCAGCTTCTTAATGATCTCAAAGCTCTGATTGAGCTGGGTGAAGACATCCACCACGGAGCAAGAGAACAGAGCATGCTCAGATGTTTGCTGGAACTGAAAAAGAAGTACAAAGAGTTATTCTCAAATGGAAAGATGTGAAATACACCCATTTCACGGGCATCTCAATCATCTGCCATGTCAGAGGCAGGACAACTTTATCAAAACCTATGTCTTCCTCAGAATTAGTCAAAAGCTCTCCAAAAGGTACAGAGGAGCTAAATAGCCAACTCTGTTGGGTTACAGGTTTACTGTCCTTCACCAGCTATGACATGAGAAGCACCAAGGAAATGTAACATGATGCTGAGAACCCTAATGAAATGCACGGCTTGCCTGTCAGTTAATGAGGAAAGGAGGAGAGAGAGAAGAGCTTTTTCCAGATTTTTCTTAAAATTTAGATATTAAAGAGAATGCTTACGTTAGCACCACATACTACAGTGCTAACAGTCACTGAACAAATGGGAAGGTTTTTGCTCTCCATCATGAATACTCAGCAAAATAAGAATAAGATTATTCTGTCAATGGATTAAGGTCACATTCTCACTGCATGACTAAGTACATGCAAAATGCCTTATATTTCAATTACATCTCACAAACACAGAGAGATGAGACAGCACCAAGCTAGTGGCTGACAGATTAACAGCAGCAGAACAGAACAGACATATGCACTTTGCTATTAAATAACTCTCTGGGACTTGTCCCAAAATAAACGAGTTTCCCAGGTGTTTAGCAAGCAAAAAGGGCTGCATCCTCCATTTGCATGACAGCTGAATTTACAGTGTTGTTCCTTGGTTCTGGGCACTGAAGGATGCAGTGCCAAGACATCCGCTTGGAGCAACCTACATACCCCATCTTTTTTATCTCTCTCCAGAGCACCATGCAGGAATTCTAAGGAAACATCTTCATTTTCATCCAGCCACTGCATCACAAACTGCTCAAACCACCTGCAGGAGGGACAGGAAGGACATCAAGTTACATCAAGTTACATCAAGAAACAGAGCACACCAATCAAACTGAGACAGTGCTGCTGTTTCAGCAAACCTTGTGAAAGCTTGCCACTGTCTGTGTGCGCAGCCAAAGTTCCCCAAAGTACTCTTACCTGTACACAAGCTACCAGTGAGCAGGGGCTGTACCAGCACCTAGGCTGGACAAGCGGAACACAGCCCAGTCCAGCTACTGCAGATTGTTGGTTCTGTGCTGGTTTTGCCCTTCTCCTCTGTCCTTCCTCTTTATCTTCCCCTTTTTACCCTTGAGCATTACCTTTAACCTTGCATCTTCTCAGAGCACTTTGTCTTTTCTTCCCCTTTCACCCATGTGTCAGACAGGACAAGGGAAACCTCCGATACCACCATCTCTGCACACTAAGAGATACAGCACACTGTTGTGCTGCCCAATTGAGTCTACCATCTTTCATGTGAGACCTGCAAATCAACATAAAGGGAGGAAAAGAAGTGACTGTTTTCCAGGGCCCTTCAGCCACTTCATCTGCAGATACAGACATACTTCTGGAGTGCCAGGAGGGAGAATCAAGGCTAGAAGTTTGATCCACTTTAATCCTGCTCTTCCCTTCCCCAAGCCTTCTCTAAAACACTCTCCCATTTCTATAGGCTGATGATCTCACTGTAAAGATGCTTGAGTAAGATTAACTTCTGATGATAGCACAGCACATCTGCTAGGGCTTGCAGGAAGCTGGCCACTTCTGTAAGCAGCTCTTCATTGTTTTCTTTTAAAGAAGCACAAACTTAGTTGATGTTAAGTGCTGGACCAATAGCCTTTGGAGCACAGTCAAGTCCCCAAACCAGGCAGGTCCTAGAATGAGGACAGCAAAGTTTGTCTTGGTTCGTTCTCTTCACTTAGGAGGATAAGCTACATGGTAGAGCAGAATCCAAGAAGCTGCTGAAACAGCCACTGCTGTATCTCAGAGACGTGCCTCACATGAGTTGGTGTCTGGAGCTACCTTCTGCACCACAAAAAAGGCTTTGACACAACCCCACCTTGGCCAAATAGACAAGGTGAAAAGCAGCTTCAGTGATGGGATCTTACAGCTGGTCATCACTCTGTTCTCTGCTCTGTGGGATATATCCACATAGCACACAAGCGGGGCAAGGGGTGTTGTCTATGTTTAAGCAAAAACATAGGATTTACAGCTTTCTTTAAATCTCTCTCTAGGATTTGTTATGTGCAAGTGCCAACATATCACAGCTGAAGCAAATCTTAATTTCAAGTATTACTAAACAGAATTCACAAATAACGGAAAAGAGTGCCCATGTGTGATTTCAGTCCATACAAAAGATTATTATACGAGCTTCACAGAGTACAGCCTCCTCTAAATAGGCAGCTGTGTTCATAGAGATTATGCTAATTATGGGCTGAGTCTGCAAAGAACATGAAAGCCCATGGCAGACATGAGAGGGGGATCAAGAGCAAATTCACTGACAGATAGCCTTAAATATGCTCTACACTTCAAAACACAAAGCATGTCAATGGTAATATTGGAAATTGTAACTGACAGTGTTAAATGCCAACAGCATTTAAGAGTCTATGCAGCCCTATTAAATATAGACAGCAGCAGTGGAACATTGTCACAGATATATGAACTTCCTGTGTTCTGGAAAAATTCCTTTTGAATGGCACTTCAGGCTCCTAAAAGTCAGCATATTTCAGAGTCTGATGCAAGTTTCTCAAGCTTTCAACATTTTGTTATTAATTACAATACCATATTTTAAAGTGACAGCTCAATACTTAGTAGAAAACTCATGCAGTTTACAAGGAAGCAAATACACATCTTCCACCTCTTTCACAATTCTCAGGCTGCAAGCTGCCGACTGCTTCATGTGTCATAGGTCCAGGTACAGGGAGGATCACTTGTTTGTGCCAGAAGCCAAAATTTTCACTCTGACAAGTAGAACTACTTCCTTATTACCATTCATCCTTAGTTATTGCACCATATCCATAAGAAAGAGCCATTCAGTGCTGGCAACAGTCACTGCCTATATTCTTATGGCTACCATAATGTTGATACACAAAATCAAATGCATAGGTATTTTATTGTCTTACCAATTTGTCCAAACAAAGCTAGTAAGGAAAAAGGTGCTATTTGAAAGGTGGGGAGATGAATTACAACCACCTACTCCCCTAATAAAAGAAATACTTTATCTCCAGAAAGAGGTTTATTACAGATGTTTAAGTGCAAAGTGAATCTCTTGGATCATGTCAGGAAATTCTGTAACTGCATTTGCAAAGCCAGCCTCAACTTTGTCCCTTATTGGCTGTCAGGAAAACACAAGAGATATAAATAATCTATAAATACTTCTAGTCCCTGGGCACATTCAGGACCGAAATGTGCTTTGAGCTGTAACACAAACCTAGAGTTATCTTAGGCCAAATATCCCTTACAGTGTTTTACCATCAGTTCTTGGGCTGCTGAGCAAGTGATGGGGACTCTTGAGGACTTTGAAGGCAACATATCCAAAACGATGTTCAAAATTATCTAGCACAGAAACTAATGAAAATAATGATTTCATGCAGAAATAGCTTCAAAATGTTATTATATGGTGAATATCTTCTTCCTTGTCTGGTTCAATTATTGATCTAGAAGCACGTAATGACTCATGCACCAGCACACAAGGCAGAGGCTCACGGTGCTGCTTAAGAAACATTCTGTGCTTGCCGGGGTCAGCACAGCCTGACTCAAGACACCACAGCCAACCTCTCCAAACGAGGTTTGCATAGAATACGCCTCAGCCTTGCCTGCGGGGAAAGGGAGCAGTCCTTTGTGACTAAATGAAAGTTTTCCTCTGTTGGCTGCACAACAGTAAGTAACACAAAAGGCTACAATGTCAGCTTGGCCATGAGCCTGTCTCCTGTGGTCTCAGGCTTTACAGCTGCATTAATCTTGTTCATTTGCTGTGTTGATGCATGTGGGTACCCAGTGAACACCCTGTGGGCCTCGGCAAGCACAGAGAAGGCAGGCAGGGTTTCAAAGAGTAAAAGAATAAATACTAAGTTTAAGTGAGCCAGAAGAATAAGGATTTCAAAGGAAGGAATACCTTCCCCGAGAAGAGAGGAGGATACTCTCCAGCACAGCTACAATACTAGCTGCATGCTAGCATCAGTATTAAAACAAAACGTAGAGCACTTCTTCACATATCTAAAAAGTTAGGGTTTTTCGGAAACTGGCAATTCACAGCTTTTAGCTAGCAGCTAAAGTGTGAAGAGACGAAGTTCAGAAGATCCACTCCCAGCTATATTGCTACTTCCGTTTCAGAAACTGCTGCTGAATTTCAGAAAACAAGGGGAGTGTAAGAACTTCAGCTTCAATACTTAGGAGCCTTCACTTTATTCAATCATATCTCAAGGCTATCAGAAACACGGTTTCTCACAGTTTCAACAGGAAAAGCGAGCTTGTGGATAGCCTCTTGTCTGTCAAGTAGGCAGACAACTCAACTGTTCTCTGGACAGCAGCAATTGAGTTTCATCTGAAGAGCTTACTGATGTGCAAACCTGATGCATGGGCTCTTTTGTTCAAGGAAGCTTCAAGACTGAAAATACTTGTGATGAAGCAAATCAAAGGACAAGAGCACATAGCTGCAATTGATATCAAGGGGGTATTTTGTGAGAGGTGAAGGTTATGGTTGAAATAAACATCACCTGTGTCTGACAATGTGGCTAATTGTACTAAAGTACAAGAGTTAAGCAACAAAGCCAGTGGCTGCAAATGTACCTGAGCACCGAAGCCCTACCACAAGGGCCAGCAGAGCAGAACAGTCTGCAAAAGACTGCAGAATGAAACTGAGCATCATTATCCTGATCACAGAGGAGAAAAAGAGAGATTAAAAATATCTGATCACTTGCCTGAGACTGCACTGACTCAGAGGCACAGCAAAGAGAATGGGGCTTCTGAGACTGTCACTCCAGCAACCTATTCACTGAGTTAATGCCTCTTGCTGACCTATTTTGTTAAGCAAGACCCATTGCTAGAGCCCAGCAATTATGCCAACTGCCTCAAGTCTTATCAGCATGCAGCTCACACCAGGCTTGAGGGACTGCAGGCACTACAGGATGGGAAGAGAATTCAAAATGCCAAACTGGAAACACAGTCCAAGCAAGATGTTTTTCTCAAGAGAGGTAAGTGCAAAGCGCTGCATTTAGACAGCAGTGACCAGTCATACACAGCAGGGGAAGGACAGCTAGGTAGAATACTCTGTTGAGGGTGCTTGGGGGCTGGCCTGTGGCCCACTGGAAGCTACACTGGTCAACAATACACTGAAGAAAAAAAATAAAATGCTGCTATCAACTCAGCATGTGAGAGCAGCAGCACTGCCTGCAAGGCAAGATCTAGATGAAATATCAGTATTTAAGCCTGGGTGTTATATGTCCATACACAGACCAGTTGGAGAGAGGCGAGTAAACCTCACTTACAAGGAAAGCTGGGAACAAACTGGAACCAGCAGAAGTTTGGGAAGGAACATGAAAAAAGCATTTTACTCTTGTAAAACAGGAACAATTTGTTCTTCATGCTCAGGTGGGTAGAACAAGATATAACAAGCTCAAACCGAAGCAAAAAGAGATTGCAGGGGGAAAAAGGGGAGTGTGTTAAACCCCCAAAACCCAGTGGAGGGGTAACATTGAAGCACAGGGAAAGAAGCTGCTTGAAGCAACATCATCACTTTCAGTCATCACTGAAAGCCTCTGAAAACCAGCTGAACACTGGTCAGAAACAACTTTCCTTAGGCCAAGTGCGGGACTCCAGCTCCAGCATCCTCTCAGGAGCCTTTTCAGGCTCAGAAAACTTCTTCAGGTCTGAAATCTACTGCTGCTCTTTGAAAGTTAAATAAAAAGTTGCAAATAAGTGCTTAGAGCTTAAGAGTGACAGCTTATCTGACGTTTCCAACTAAACCACCTTGTCTTACTAAAAAAAATAAAATATTATTTTTACTCACAAATCCTGTTGTGCATGTATATATGTGACATTCATATGCACACATACAGACATACATACAGTACATACAGATAAAGCTGTTATCTATTAATACAAGAATGTAAGCATAAATCCAGAAGCCTGTTGTCCAAGAATTGACCAAAGCCCACACTGCAGGCACAAAGTAGCTTAAAGACTGTCCACACCATTGCTAAAGCTTTTGAGATTTTGGGAGATACTGTACAATAAGGTGTTGAACGGTGTCAGGCACAGAACACCAGAGGAGACAAACATGCACATAAACACAGAAAATCAGGAGTAAAGAAATGGCGCATCATGAAGGCAGCCACAGGAGAAGCAAATGACTACCCTCAAGGTAACACAAGGAGAGATAACACACTCACGCTGGATATTCAGGCACTTTTCCCTTGAAGGCAGGCAGATCACGGACATATTCATTGTACAGCCACTTCACTTTGAAGTGTAAATTCATATAGTCTGCACTTTTACACAGTCTGTGTTTCTCATGTTCTGTAAGGAAGAAAAAAAAGCAGTCAGGTCCAAAATTACTATTATCACTGCATCAGGCACAGGAGGGTATTATAAAGCATGTCTGCAGTATGCAATGGTTTTGAGGATGAAGCACCTATAGAGCCACAAAATCTTCATGACACAGGATTCTGGCAGCGGGCAGGGATTCTTGGTGGTTGACCATTAGGGCTCCAGAGTTTATTTCTGTAACTCCAACTAATATTTCCATTTGTTAAAGACTTTTTGGTTGTCAAAGCAACAAAAACAGAGCAATCTTTTATGGCCTTTCCATTTAATATGACAGTCCAGATTTAATCTTTGCAGGAAACAAATCAAGGAGAGCAAATCTGTTCATTCTTGGACATAAACAAAGGCAATACCAACATGTTATACTACATTCCCTAAGAGCCAAGGCTAGAAAGCCTCAGGTTCTTTAGTTTGACAGTATGAGTCACAAGCAAGCTCAAACAAGGTACAAGGGGGCTGGAGCCTTCCCTGATCCTCAGTTTGTAGAAATTCATGTCACTTGTTTTTCAAAAGGCAACTGTTTTCTTATTTGTATTGCCTTCCTGTGCACAGTCCACTTAAGTGACCTGTGGGTATCTACCTGCTGCTGAGCCTCTTCATCCTACCAGGTTTTGTTACATTTTTGTACCCAGGCTATGTCAGGACAGTGCAGTTCCTCCCTGTATAACGTGCATACCTCCGCAACATGACCACACACCTATGCTGCTATGCACTTGCCATATGCAGACCCACATTTCTGCAGAGATCACCTCCCTAGACCACTGCTCCCCTTTCTCTCTCTCACAAGAAATGTATGCTCCTTGTCTTCACTCTCAAGGTCTACGTCCACAGTACCATCTTTTGGCAGTTGACTCCCACCCTCTGATCAGCCCACAAACCATGTTTTTAAACTACTTGTTAAGTTCTCCCAAAAGCATCCCAATGCTTTCTCCCAAGCCACCTCTCATGTGCTTACACAGGCAGCTCCTGCACTACTTTTCTTCAAAATCCTCCTTGAAAATAATAAAATTAATTCTTTTTTCATTATGCTAAGAGGACTCAGCAGATGGCTTTTGCCTGTGATCCTGAATCACCACCTGACCAAATCTGCACTGCCTCTCCCTAGTGCCACCTGGCCATACCTCTCTCTGTCTTCTGCCAAGCTTCAACAGCATGGACACACTTTCTGCCATGCTTCTTTGTTCACTCTACCACCACAGCAAGCTGCTAGTCTAAGACTACAGTGTGACACAGGAGATTGAACTACACCATTTTGGCTTAGACTCAGGGGTTTTTTTCCCCAAAATTTGACTTCCACGTCTCTCTTGAAGCTTCAACAACATGCACAACAAGGGCCAAATAAATTATAAATTATTCAACTGAAAACACAAAAAACAAAGAACTTTTCCCGCATAATTATTCCATAAGCCTACTCAACTCCCAAGCAGTGGAACACTCCAGTGAGTTGTTTGCTAACCTCACTAAGAGCATAATACAGATTTCTTTCTAATTCACATGTAGCAGATCCACACAGATACAATCTCAAAAAAAGGATACCTAACCTCCGTTTAAAATAAAATAAAATTACTAACATCTGAGAGATAGTACCCAGGGGTGATGCTCTGATGGACAAAGTACTTTACATGTGCTACTATTTCACATGCACTATGATCCTTTACTCTCCACAGTGAATTTGGTTGTATTGGAGACAAGGAAAGTCCATTCACGTTTTACATTAATAAATCTTGTATCTTTTTTGAGCATTAAGGAAGTATGAGTATATTCAGTGTCTGAACTGCTGACCTCCCTCAAAAACAACTGCAGAAGAAAATGCAAAGCTCTCTCCGCAGATCTAAAACTGGAAACAAACACAGCAATAACCATGCCCGCTTAGCTCCCTGTGAGAGTGAGGAAATCAATGGACAATTATAACTTCATTAACTTTGATATGCGCTGCCACCCAGGTGCTGTTCCTGCATAGAGAAAGTGGTGTTCCTGCAGAGGGAACGTCTGACATGGAGGTAAAAAGGACTCAAATCATATTTCTGTCCTCAAAATTCAGCAGTGCACTAAAAGCAAGTAATCCAAGCCCCTTCCTGTTTTTTAGGACACTTATAACACTATGTAGTTGCAGAAGAGGAAGACACAAAACAACCACAGAAGCACAAGCCCAAGGACTGCTACTAGGACTACCTATCTGTCTAAGCAGTAAAGGAAAGGCTTGACACCAAGGGGATAAAACTAGAGGAAAGTAAAAGAAAGGAGAGGTCTTACCACCATAAAAGAGAACTTTACGTATGCGAAAGAAAGGTGGGGCTTGTGACAGAGAAAAGACAAAAGTGAACTCCAACAGCTCAAACATGCTGGAGGACAAAGAAAGCCAACAAAGCCCCAAAACCCCTCATCCCCAGCTTCTCATACCTTCAATGGACCCTGCATGGTTTTGATCAGCTGCTTTCTTTGTAAAGGGAAATGTTTAAGAGCACTTGAAGGTGACAAGGAAACACATTGGCCAGAGGTATACTTTGAAAACCCATTTTAGAAAAAGTGAAGAGCATGGGAGCCCATCAGTCTTGGCACATTTCTGTTCTGCTTTATAACCTGCTGGCTTTTAAAGAGCTTAGTGGCAGCAACAGTGGAAGAGTGCACAGATATTTTGCAGGAACTACTGTGTTTTATCCTGAAAAGACCGTAGAGTTCTGTAAGTCTTTCACATTTTCTCAGCAGATTTCATCTGCAAACAGCCTCCTCCGGAGAAGAGCTTTTAGGGTCACTGAGGCCACATTATTAAGGCATTAATAGGGAACAGCTTCTTAGCAGCACACTTTCTAGTGTTATGGCCAATTCTATTTTTCAGGCAGAGAACCAGTCTTCCACCACATCCTTAATCCATGAATTTTTTTTCTTGACTGTCAGCCTACTTTCCATGGGTTAATTTCTACCAAATAATGCTGAATTTCTGCAAAGAAATGCTAATAGATACTGAGACTGTTGAAGCATTAACACTTTAGACAGCTGGCATCTGTGTGTGCATCTGATCCCCCTCCCCTTATTAGAAGTGAAAATGTGGCAGAATGATTTATTTCAATCCTGCCCGCCAAGTCTACTCAGTCTCTCTTCCTATTAGAGATGCTTCCAATTTACAACTCTCATTATGCTGATGTGCCCAAAATAAGATGAACCATTGCATTCAAAGATTACATTGATTTTTCTATTACTGTCTTTTAATGTCTTGCTAGTAAAGGAAGAGCAGAAGCTCTCTCTGCTCAGACAGTTTGTGCTTTCTGGCTCACAGAGGTTTCACAGAAGACAGCAAGAAAACTACTAACTCCAGTTACCAGTGAGCTCACAAGGTGGTTATCCAGCTGCTGAACACGGGTTAGCCTCTCAGAGATGGAGCTAACCATGACTTGGAAAAATGATCCTCTAGGCTACAGTGACTCCAGAGTAGCACGATCCTGCCAGCCAAGTCTGGGCCACATGACATGTCTAGCTGATCTGTTTTACTCCTGAGTTGATGGGGAACAAGGGATCCTTCTCAATGCCTCGTCCTGTACTGCCTTCACCAGCAACGAGGGAAGGGCCAGGTCTGCTGTTCACAGTGCCCTAAGCTGTCACTGCTTTGAGGGAGAGAGAAAGCAAAACAAATGGAGTAGATCCTGGAGCTTCTGCTGTGTCTCAGCAGGTGAGTCTCATTGAGGGAGACAATGGCATAAGAGAGGTCTGCAGTGCACCTGTTTTCCAGCAGTCAAACACACTGCTGCCGTGACTATTGCTACTGCTTGCAGAACATATCTTAAACAGAAAATAGGTGTTTCACTTTTATGATGAACATTTTACACATTAGCAATCTAGCTCTTCAGAAGGTACCCAAAGGACACAAGCTGCAGCATCCACAGGCTAGCAAGACTTCTGGTTCTGAAGCCCTTAAACACTGTATTCTATGTATAAATTAGTATTTATACATTGCCGTGCACAGACTACACAGCATACATGGGGGTAAGCTCCAGCTGGGAGAGGCACAGTTAGCTTCCACCCATTGGGAAAAAGGAAAACAACTCATGCAGCCAGGCACTGCTCTCCAGCTCAGAGAAGCCATCTCCCACCTGAGCCTCCCACTTGTCTTCCACGCTGCATACAGGAGAGAGCTGTGGAACCACCAGGCTGGAAGGAGGGAGGGGGCAGTTTCACACAGTCAGCCTACACTCTGGAGCTGTGACTTCACCAGTTATTCTCCATCAGATGTTATCTACAGCTTAGTGCCTCGGACCCAGCAATGGGGCTCTCACCCAGAACTGCTCAGTGTATCCGGTACTGTCAAAAAACAACTGGAGTGATCAGTCAGAACAGGAGTCTGCTAAGCAGCAGGTACCCTCCATTTCTGCAGCAACAGTATGGTCTTCTACATCTTCTTTGCAGATCTGCTGATCACTGACATAAAACTACAGGACACTAATGCTAATATTAGGAACTACACCTGAAGTGCTAAAACTACAGGTAGCAGATGAAAGTTGTGCCTACTCACAACTATAAACTCTTCTAAGGAGCATGAACTTACCACTTGGTGAGGTGAATGAGCTCATGTTATCCAGAACTTAGGAACAGAACATAAGGAAACACACCATGAGGAAAGTTAGGAGCAAGTATGTGGTTCATGTGCACATATCTCCACAAAACAGATTAGCTTTTGTTGCAGAGAGCTCCTGAAGCATACATATCTTGGAGCACACCATAAATGTACCCAGAGACTACTCCACAAACTGTCAAAGACAGGAATATGAAACTCTTGGTGTAGTTAAACTGGTAGAGAAATTAGCAACTCAAACAGAGAAATGACAGAGCCAGGAGCTGAGGACAGCAAATTTAATCATCCTTCACATCACTTAATCTGTTTCCTTTTATCCCTTTTTTCTACCTCATTAAAAAAAAAATGCAGTGAGCTAATCCAATCATCTGTATTTAAAACACACGTAGTAAGGTCTGTAATTGAATTACTGTAGAACTTGCTGTAAAGGTTATAATCATAAGTTTCAGGAGAGCAAAGCAGTGAGGAATCACACTTGCCTCAAACAGAATTTTGCACCCTGAGGATTTCTTGAATATTATAAGAGACATACCAACACAGACTGTATCATTCTTCAATCCTCCCACAGGATTTGCACAACTAGGGTACAAATACATGTACCATGCAGTTTTTCAGCTTTTGTTCAACATGCAAACACTTCCATGTCCATCATCTGCCTTTGTGTGAACTTTCCTACTTTGAAGAAGGATGCTCTTTCAGCAAGTATTTGCTATGCACTGATGAACCCACAGGTGGAAACACTATGACAATTCTTGTCTTAAGAAGCTCACAAGTGACCAGAAGGATGTGAGGAAAAGCTAAAAGAAGCCCAGATTCACCAGGTAGGACAGAGTCAAAGGGGACACAGCAGGACACGTAAACAGACAAAACCTGGGAGGCAAAGTTAACTTGGGCACTGTCAATCAAATAAAACCATGCAAGAGAGGGAAAAAAAAAAAATCATTCGAAGTCATGCCCCCTTTGACAGCCCAATTCACACACACAATAAGTAACCTTTTTGCAGCTGCATTTTGGATGCAACAGGGAATGGGAATCTTAGCAAAGCCAGCAACTAGGCCTGTAGAGATCAAATTCTCATGGCTGCTGGGAAAGGAGGAAGATACGGCACTTTCAACATGTAGAAGAGCAAACTGTATTATGAATTCCTGAGGGTGAGTGCACAGGGGTAAATGAGGACAAAATGGAGAGGGGGGCCAAAATGGTTGCAGGATTAAACAGTTTCTAGGGAAAGTGGACATGAAGTTATCACTGTTGCCTTATCTCTAATATATAAGCAAGCAGTGACTGTCACTATAAAAGAGTCTTCAACAGAGTTAGGAGGTCTTAGTCATTCTTCCCAGTCTGTTCTTACATCAAGACGACCTCACAAGACAAAGGCACTGTGGGGTACAAGTGTATATAAAAAGTTCCTAACACAGAAGGAGAACATTTCATCCAGACCTGCAGCCTGCTGAATCCAAGCCTGGAGCTGGCAAAGGGTGTCCCCGCCACAGCACAGTCTCTACCCCTGTTGTGTTGACAGACACCATGTAGTAGATGGAGTCAATCTTCTTCACTTACAGAGCAACCCCACAGACTGTTCCCAAAGAACAAAAAGCAGGAAACTCACTTAGCTGGCAGCAGGTTTTTTTCTAGCAGTCTGAAGAGCCTAACAGGCTGTCACCCTTATAAGTGAGCTTAGATCAAAATGGGGGCAAATAGATTGAGCATAATATTATGATTGATCAAAAGCAGTAACTTGATGTGGTTTTGGAATACGAATACCACTAGTAGGCCACAGGCCGCATTGGCACTTCTGTTTTATCACAATATCGTCCTACAGATGATCAGAAAGCCTGACCCTGCAAAATACTGGAAAAACAACTGCTACCACAGCTGCAGAGCCAGTGGGAGCTGGATGCTCTCTGAACCTTGTAAGAAGCTGATTACATTGTGCAAATGAATTTATACTAGAAATAAATGAATCTACACTAGAACTAAAACCAAATTCAGAAACTGTAACCAACCACCAGAAGAGTACTGCAAGTAGAATTCCTTTCTGGGAGTTCACTGGGCTCTGCATGCCTAACTCATTTTCAGAACAGTAAAATTTCTTCTTCACTAGTAGTCTCGTAGAATTATGCAAAGATTAATTCAAAAGGAAGATGTTCGCAGCACGATTTGTTCTAACAGCATATTTCTGCCAATGCCTTAGACCATCTATGCTGTATCATCCAGGGAACCTGCAGCCATGGCACAACCCAGAGTCCACCTACTTCTCCAGCCCTTTTTACCATTGTACATTGCAGAAGTAAGCTGCTGCTGATCTAAGCCATCGTATCCTCAGGCCAAAGTGAATTTCAATTTCAAACCCGGTGGGATGACAATAAACAGCTTGCAACACAGCCTGACACACAGGACTAGAGCTCATGCAGATCTCAGCCTCAATTCTCACCCATAAAGCAGCTGTCCACAAACAAACCACTAGAAATCCCTGCTCCAACCAGTGATATTACAAATGTGGTTAAGCCTCATTTACACCAAATGGACAGAGAAAAAGAGCTCAGCAACAAGTCAGCTGGTAGTAGTGAGGAATTCTCTTACCTTCCATAGCATATTTCATATCCTGGGCAAAAAGACTCCACATCACCTCTGCGCTGATCTTCCCAACAGCAAGCTCCTGAGGAAACCTGACAGGACATTTGGGTAAGGCTTTGGCATGTATCAGAGCAAAGGGCTCTTCTTTATTCGTCTCTGAGCTAAACTACAGCCTGAAAAGCTCAACATTAGAGATGCTTCTGTCACCCTAGATAAATGATGAGGTGGAACCTGGAGATCATGGACTGGCCTCTGTGCCATAGATTAAATAACCAGAAAACACTGCTGTTGAGACTGGTTTTAACTCAAAATGCCAGGCCCTGCATGTCTGTCCTAGAAGAAACTCACACAGTAAATCTAGGAATGTGATCTCAATGCCCTTTTGCCTTTTCCCCTTTGGTATCCTTTCTTTTTTTTTTTTTTTTTTGGTGGGTTTTTTTTGTTGTGGTTTTTTTTTTTTTTTAGGACTCCTACACTGAGAAGTGAACACTAATCAGGTGTCCCTGCCATGTTAAATCAATGATCACTAGTGCATAATCCAGTTCTTCGTGTATAATACCTTGTCAGACATCTCCTTCTCTCCTGCACTGTGGGACTGTTGGAGGAGTATCCACCAGTTAAACAGACCGGTTACCAGTTTCAGGTCCTTTCCAATGCTCTGCCAATCCCAGTAATCCCAGTAATCTCCCAGTGCTCCACTGAACACCATGTTCTTAAGTCACAGCATAAGGTGTTGTCACCACGGCACTACTGTGTGCATTAATGTGCATCCCAGAACTTCTCAACATCAGAAAAAACCAAAAGAACTCTCACCCCATTTTCACGTGCCTCCCTGAGTTCAGGATTGTAATAATCAGGGTGTTTGTGCTTGAACGCCATCGTAACTGAACCTTTTGAAACTCTTCCATCCCAATCAAAAAGAGTTATTTATATAGACAGAGACAGATAAGACAGAAAGACAGACAGACAAGATAAGTACTTCTATAAATACACAAGTGACAGAAGAGATAGAAAGCAGTTTAACAAATAAAGCAGAGCACACAGAGACTAGGATTAGCCATACGGGACATGGAAGATTCTTACTGATTCAGGACCGGGGTATAAGAATTCTTGTCCTCTTCTATGATGGAAACTATCAAAGTGATGAGCTTGGGCCAGAAATCCAAGTTCCTGATGCTGGGGCCCTGTTCCTCAGGAGGAAGGTCCTGATTTTTGTTCTGAGAAGGAAGCCATTGGAAAACCAGTGTAAATTCAAAAGGGAAAGAAAAAGCTGCCAATTGTAGATCACCATAAAAACTCCAAACACGAATTACCTGTGGAACTTTTATTCTGAAAAGCTTAAAATTATTAATGTCTGCTGGCAACTTGAGTGATCTAATGCAAAACACAGGAACATGCCCAACCACGATGCTTACAGGTGGCCTCAAACCCTAATAATCCCCATTTTGCCATGCACCATGCCAAGAGCAGGTCAGGATCCAGCAGACCTGCTTAGACATCATTTGCTGTAAGCTTGTTCCAAATGACTATACCCATGTTGATGCATTGTGTGTACACTACTGCAGAGTAGCCAGCAGTACTCTCATGGATTTGAAAACAGTTTGTGTCTAGAGGTAGCTCCTAAAGCAGTGCAGGACACTGGGTGCTAGAAAACAAGATAAAATTTCACTGCTTGAGGTTTATCTATGCTGAAGACAGTTTTCTTGATTAGTCTACATTTGCTCTAATTGGCTTTTGCTCATTCAAAGCTGCATCAAACCTTCCCTTTACAAATAGCTGCTCATGAAATAAAATAGCTGAGGCTGGCAAAAGGAATTGTAATTAGTTAGTGTAAAACAATTATCATCCTCCACTTACTAATTAGTGCTCATTAATTGATTACAACTTTTATTCATTCACAAGATAACAAGTCACATAATTTTGTTTGTGTTGGATTTTTATATCAATTGATATTCTCATTATTATCTTAAGGAATTCAGACACGTGGATTTCTGCCCGCTTATCAGCTACTCACGGGATCTGTCTGGTACTCGCGACTGTACAGCTCATGACAATTGTTGAAAATGTATTCATAGGTGGAGTTGAGGCAAGCTTTTACACAGTCCTTCACTACCTGGCTGGCTCGGGGTGGACTCTGCAGCTCTTGGACCTGGCAAGGAGACAACAGAGAGAGTCAAACAAACAAGAGAGAGTCAAACAGGGAATGAATGAGTCACCAGTCTGGGAAATACCCAGTACTTGGTGTATCTGCTTTCAGCAACTTGTGCTATCAGTGACCTGAAACCATGAACAGATCACTCTCCCCAGCCATAAAACAGCACTGACAACACTTAGGTCCCTGCAGGATCATTTGGAGTATAAAAGAGATTTTGAAGTGCCAAGGAAGATTCCCCAGAATAAATAAATCACGTGTTTGATATGTTCATAATCTGAGACAGGCATACACAATTTCTGCTAAATTTATAGGATTTTGCTATGAAGCCAGGGAGCAATCTTTTCCAACACGGGAAGAATGTGCGACAGACTAGCAAAGCACATTACATCTGATCTGGAAAGTCTTGCTGAAGACCAAACACTTTATGTCTTCAAATGCAAAAACTTTCTTAAGGACATCTTTTACCACAAGCTTTATTGAATTTTAAAGCACACCAGAATCCTCAAGGACATGCCAACCAATATGCCTTCTCCTCTTGCAACAACAACTCTTTTCAGTATTTCATTGTTAAGGTGCTTTAGAAAAACGCTGCAGGGTTACATTAAAGAGAACGGATACATAGGCCTCACCCTGCAAATAAAACTATAACCTGAGACAACTTTGATATTGTCAGTACCTCTGAACTTTTTATAGTATTTCTCCCCATCTCTCCTGTAGCCCCCTTGAGGTACTGGAACGCTGCTATAAGGTCTCCCTGGAGCTTTCTCTTCTCCAGGCTGAATAATCCCACCTCTCGCAGGCTGGACTCATGGGGGAGGTATTCCAGCCCTCTGACCATCTTGCTCCAACAAGCTCGACATCCTTCTTGGATTGGGGGGCCCAGAACTGGACGCAGTACTCCAGGTGGGGTCTCACAAGAAGATATTATCCCATTTCAATATCTTATCCCCCAAGAAATAAATTTAAAAATACTTATTGCATAAAAGATGGTGAAGAGATGATAGTTACTGATAAACGTTGTAGGCAGTTTTATAGCATTAAGAGGCTTTTCCTATTAACAAAAGTAAATTAACTTCCTAAAACCAGACAATTTTTTTTTTCTTCCTTTTTTTTTTTTTAACTGTTTTGTGTCATATTGATGACTGAAGAACCCCAGGGAAAAAACAACTTTCATCTTCATGACACAAAATACAGTGAAGTAAAGATAGAATGTGGATGCTTATTACATGGTCAGCAGATGATCTTCATTTTTGTGAAGTGTCTAAAGCACAATGACATGAAACAATGGTTTGAAAATGGGAAACCAACTCCTGTGGCAAAAACTGCAGGGGCTCCATTCCCATCCCCACCCATAACACTACCTTCATCCTGAAAAAAGTGATGCTGGTCAGTAAATCCACTGTAGACTTCAAGTCCTGCAGCCGCTCACGGCTGCTGGCTGGGAAGTTATTCTGTTGACAAAAAAGGGAAATCCTGTTGGAAAGCACAGTCAGATTGATGCAAGGCTTCAAGTATGTGCTAAATAAGGAAAGTGTCTTGGAAACATTTCCTGCTCAAGAAGCTCGTACCAGTCAAAACAACGCTCAATAAATGGGGCCTTTTTGCTATAGGAGCTTATCTGTTTGCTTAATTAAATAGCTTCTCATATGAATGTAAAGTTTGTGGATGCCAGAAGACTGACAGCTCTTGGCAGCAGGAGGTCTCTCCTTGGCTGTAGAAGGAGCAGGCAGAGAGCAACAGCTGCACCAGCAGCCCTGGCCTCTTGCCTGAGGCTGCTTTTGTGGGCCCTTTTCTTTCTGCACTCACCACTTGGTTTTTGGCTCCTCTTCTGAGACACTAAGAGGTGTGGCATATTAGCAACCTCTCCAGAGAAATCAATTGGACTGAGAAGGGAAAAAAAGAGCACTGTTCCCTGTAAGGAGTCATTGTAACCACTCAGTCCCTTGTAAGATCCAATCTGCCAAGACAAGCATGTATCCTTCAGTGCCTCCTTCGCTCTAATGCATTTATTTTACACTCTGCCCACCACCCCACTGTCCATAGCCATCGCTTCCTCGTCCACTCTCTGGGTTCCACTGAAATGAGAAGTCTCAGTGTCCTTTCCAGATACGATACATATGTGTGCATGCGTGTATATATACATGTAAATGCATATGCTGAATGCAGCAAGCTTTGCTTCTTGCAAGAGGCTGTTCCCTTTCTGTCTACAGGCAATGTGTCTTTTCCTACATTTTTTTCCTGTGTCCTTTTAACAGCATTCATGTTCCTCAGTATGTTCTTACATTCAGGCTGATGTGACTGGTTTTGCTGCAAGTAAAATACAAAAGGCAACCTTCTACTGGAGAGTTTCTTCATATTTGCACATTCCAAAATGATTAGAGACAAAGGTAAAAGGGCAGAGTGGAACAAAATTTCATTTATTACTGAGGACTGGTGGAAAAATATGCTGTCTCTTGACAGTAGCCGAGTATTGCTACTGTTCAGCTAACCACTGCAAGCAGTTTAGTGCTCTTTACAGTCATTTGTAGATGCTCATTCTTCGACAATTCTCCTTTTAAAGTTAAGTTGTCTACACACAGACTCTGGGGCACTCAGGGTATCTACCAAAATCAAAGACTTCCACGAGTCAAGATTTAAACACAAACCATTGGATAGATGTCAGGGACTGAATGCATGTTCTTGATTAGGAATAATAATCAGGAAAAGATGACATTATCTATATTGAAATTCAACCTCCTCTATGCTTATGTTAGCTAGCGACCAACCAACAAAAAGAACAACTGCATGTATACAGAATAACTGCACTTGCTCACAAAACACTTTTCAAAATAATTATTCAGATGGTAACTTGGAGCTACACTTGAGAGGGCTCCACCTCTCTCCTCCTCACCTGCCACCCTGCCCTGGAAGGAACACACATTGGTTTAACACTTCATTTTTCACAAATGCACACTGCTGGTTGTTCATTGTTTTAAGTGTTTACAAATAGCTGGATTAAATTAGGGGACTGGAGGAGATTTAATCTGAGCAATTTAAATTGTAAATTGCCATCTCCTGTCTTGAAAACTAGCACCTTTTTCTTCCAGCACTTAACCTGCTTTTCAGGGGTCTTAAAATAATTACTAAGAGCTCCCAAATTGCTTCAGCCATTTCTCTAAATACACTGTCAATTAGATAACATCTAAATTATTTAAATTACACAAATCTTTCCCAGTACTTTATGTAAGATCTTACTTGTTTGTCCACGGTGTAGTTGCATTAGCCACCAGAAAGAAGCTTTTACTGAAGACCAAGCAAACAAAAAAGGCATCACCACTACAGATTCCTCTTGCTATGTATTGATAATTTTCCCTCTGCTGCTTCATGGATCAGTGATCTCTTTAGACCTTCTCTTACTAGTAATGTAGTTTTAGAATAGCTCTTTACACAACACTCCTTTTATCTTCTTTGCACCTTGCCCCTTGTCCTTGTTGTCTTCCTAATGCGCTTCTCCTCTTAGTCTGCTTGTGTTTCCCTCCTCTAAATGTTTTACTGTGTTTCAGATAAATGCACTAACCAGAAGAGGATCTACTTTTAAATAAATAAATAAAATCAAAGCTCACATTTTGCCATAATTTTGAAATTTTTCAATGGATTAGTCACTAATTAAAATAATATAGCAAGGAATTTAGGGGGGAAAAAAAAAAAAGCTAAGCCACATGATAAGACTATGTTGACTCTGGAGTAGCAAAGAAAAAAACTAGAGGGTTTAAGAAGCCTGAGCAACTGGTGTCAACACTTGAAATTCATCCCTTCCTAATATCGTGAAAGTAAGGGGCATCTCAACCCAAGAGCACATCTTGCAGATTCAGAGTCAAGGAGAGTGATTCGACTTTGCCAAACCTCAAATAACTGACGACAAGCTTGCAGGTCCTCTAAGAGATTTCTGTCTTACTAGAGGAGAACAAGTCTGTTTCCCCTTGGTAGATCATATCTGAAGTAGCTGACAAGAATAATTCACATTAATTAATCCAATCCAACTTGTATTTCAGTGAGAAATTAAGAGACAAGCATCGTTCATAGAATCACAGAATGGTTTGGGTTGGAAGGGACCTTAGAGCTCATCTAGTTCCAACCCCCCTGCCGTGAGCAAGGACACCTCCCACTAGACCAGGTTGCTCAAATCATCCAGCCTGGCCTTGAACACCTCCAGGGATGGGGCATCCACACCTTCCCTGGGCAACCTGTTCCAGCGCCTCACCACCCTCACAGTAAAGAATTTCTTCCTAATATCTCGTCTAAATCTGCCATCTTCCAGTTTAAATCCACCACCCCTTGTCCTGTCCCTATATGCCCTTGTAAAAAGTCCCTCCCCAGCTTTCCTGTAGGCCCTCCCTTGTTCACAATCCTTAAATTATTTCAGGAGTCTTAAGGCAGTTATAATAGAAGAAGAAAACCTGGTTTAACTTCTATCCATGAGGAAAACAAAAACATGTATTCAAGCAACAAGCTTGTTATGACAATTCTGTAAGACCCAGACTACCCAAAAGGTTATCAACGTAAGAGAAATCCAAATGTTTGCCCCTCTGCCACCAGAATGCTTGAAAGGATTCTGTTTATTCCCACTCACCCTGTACATTGAGAGATCAATCCGAAGTGAATTATGAAGCTGGTCCAGAAGCTTCACAAATCGTTCTTTCTGTCAAGCAGAAAACACGAATAAACATCACATATCATCACTGTCCAATCGATGTTCAGAGTTAGCAGCAGGATATCAGGGAATTAGTGTCTGATCTCAGAACAGGAGGAAGCAACATGGATGCATGGTATTGTGCAAACAGTATTTTCTTCTGATTCTTGAATTTACTCATATACTGTAATTATTTCTGAAGTCTGCGTAACATTAGAATTGTCAGAAAAATACTCCATTATCACTCTGAAGTAGAGGCAGAACAAAAACCCCTCTGATTTCGAGTCTGCAATTTGCACCAAACTTATACTTAAGAGAAAGTATTTATTCAGAGATGAATAAAGGAACAGGCAGAAAATGGTCTAATTCAGAGCAATGACACAGCTCCAAGATCTTATCTATTAGTTCAGTGACAAGTATTACAGGCTTCTCATGACTATCTTCTTGATGTCAGGTCTCTCCACTAGATTCTGATTTGGCATCACGAACACACCCTCATTCAATCTATAAATTCTCAGTCTGATGGTAAGCACAAGCTTTTCCAAATACCCTTGTAGCACACTCAACTCCACCATGTTGTATGAAGTGGAGTTATAACGAAGTTCTGAAATGATCAGATCACACAATATATTTTATCAATGGCATCACCATGAAGAGTTTAGTGTTATTTGCTCATTCTACACCATCTGTTCTGCGGTGTAATTTGAACACAAAGAATAAACATCACAATGCATTACACTGATTAATATCTAAACTGTGTGCTGATTATGACAATAAAACCAATGCTTTGTCTAGTTCAGAGGAGGTCCACAGCTACCAGCCACTCACTGATTTAATGTTCCTTAAACAGAACAAGTTATTTATTGAAAGGCAGAGCACTGTAGCCAAATTACAGAAGTCCAATTGTAACATCATCAAATATGCAAACTTACCCCAAAATTGGAGGCTGCAAAGCGGTCCGAAGCAGACACATTTGTGGAGGCAGTGGTGTGTGCATAATAAGCATTGATATTGGCAAGTAAAGTGCTCATCACAGCTGGCACGCCTGGGCACATGTATTTGGAGGAGAGACATGCAAAATGCCTGCAAAAGGACAGTTCTGCAAGTCATTTTTGTCTCTTCTGTGTAGCAGAAGGACTCTACTCCTTTAATAGCCCCTTTACCCTGGCTGGCACCATGAACCAATGAAAGTTATATTTTCTCCCTTTCTGTAAATCTCCAGCACCTCAGAGCTTTTTCAGAAAGATGCCATCTAGACAACAGATATGCTCAAGACAAGATAAATACCTTCACTACAGACATTTCTGGATCATAAAACAGCTTCGCAACTATTTGTTGTCAACAGCTTGTGACTTAGGTGATACCCCGGTCCTGATGCCAATCCTTAGAACCAAGTCTGACACAAGGAAATCTATATAACTTGCTGCCACTTGAGGCAGCCGCAGGTTCTGAGGTGACATGAAACCGCAGCAACTGGAAAGCATTCAAGCACAGGGAGATCACACGCTAGTATTTCTGTGCTGCTCTGATATGTGACTGTTTAGGGCTAACCTTTCCAGCCTGCAGGAAGTATGCGTGCTCATTCGCCTTTTCCCATTTAACTGCTCTCATTAAAGTGCACAGAACCCTCCTGCGGGAAATCTCAAAATTATGCCAGAAGCATCCAGGCTTGTGAAATGATTAAACAATCAAAGAAAATCTGTTAGACATAAGGGGGAAAAAAAAATCAGAGCTTAAGAGCTCTGATATTATGGGACATGGCAAGTAAATTTCATTCCAACAGACAGGAGACTTGGGCCACTTTTAAGCAGTTCTTTTAAGCAGAAATCCTCACTGAACTCCCAAACTAAATTTGGGAACTATTTTCTAAATGTAGCTTTCTCCCTAAGGGACTCATGAAAGATATTAGCTTCTGTGCTAGTTAACCTACAAATGATTATAACCAAAAAAGCTCCAGTGAGAGAATTTCACAGGAATTCACAGGTCAGTATTTCAGACAAACATGATGCCTGAATGTTAATTTGCTTGCTGCATGACACTTATGTACCAACTGGTCATTTAGGCACTCAGTAAAGACAGACATCAAATGACTCTGTTGAGTTTGAAGAAGAGAAGGTGTGAGGAGTGGGGATCTAATTAATGTCTGGACTACCTAGCAGAGGGAGAAGGGTTAGTGAGAAGACCGAGCCAGGCCAAAACCCTTTTAGAGAGACTAACAGATAAGCAGCAATATGAAGCAGTTACAGCACAGAAAATTCAAAACAGGATTTTCCAATTTGGATTTCAACCAGGAATTTCTTCCCTAGAGTAACACAGCCTGAGGACAGAAGGCCAGAAAGGTGGTGGATCTTCCTCCTTGGAAATTTTCAACAAGTGAAAGAAGCCCTGAGCAGTCTGGTCCAACTTCCAAGTTAGCCCTGCTATAAGCAGGGACTACACCTCCAGAAGTACCTTCCAATTCTTTTTCACTTTGGCTTAAATCAATAGACAGAAAAGGTGCTTGCAAGGTGAAATTAAGTACAGATCATAAATCATCCAAGGACCCAGACCCCAAAACTTTCAGCTTCTAAAGTGAAAATATTCACTTTTATCTGCTATATTTAATATTACATTTGAAACCAAAGAGCTCAGCATAGCACTACTAGTCTTTAAGAGGAAGACTGGCTAATCCCAAATCCAAGGAAAAGTATATTGACAAGGAAAACGCTCTTTGAAGATCAAGAACTGCATAAGCCTAGCTCCAAAGAAGACAAATCAGTGGCTCTATTACTCAAACTTCCTACAAATGCCTTCAGCAGCACCTGGCAAATTAGTGACTTCAAAGAACTGTATCAACTGCCACAACAGACATGTAGGACAAACACGTTCACAAAACCTCATCCCTTCTCATGTTATCAGAAATCTTCAGTGGGATCCTTGGCCAATATCTTTTTAACAGAAGAGTGCTCAAATAGAGATTTTTAGACTCTTAAAACAGGAATGGCCCAGCTATCAATAAAATATGGTAATTTACACTATGGAAGTTGGTGCAATTCCTTAGAATTAGTTTTAAAGCTGCTTATACAAACTGCTCAGATAGATGCTCAATGCCAGCACTTTTTCAGACACTAATTTCTAGACTTCGAGGAAACCAGTGATTCAGAGACAAGAAGTGTCTTCCTGCTCAGCATAAGCCCCATAAGGAGCAGCTGTCACTGCCAAGCCTTCCATTACCAACACACTTCATATTCTAGATATTAACAATCACATCCATTAGTTACACTGATTGGCTGCACTAAAGACCACACAGAATGCATCTTACGTCATGGCCTGGTATATTGACTCAATGCCGTAACGCATCGCAAATTCATCCACGATCTCTTGAGCTGTCTCATCAAAATACACTTTCCAGGCATCATCTCCTTTGGCATCAGGGATCTTCACCACTCCATTCCCTTGCACATCTGTGAGATGGTGAAAGAGGTTCTGAAATACAAAACAGGAACGAAATCGTATGTGAGGCTGCTGAAGCCTCAAAGTGAGTTTCATTAAGAGCTTGGAACTGCTGAGAAGAAGGCATTAACACTAATTTCTTTGCTCTCCTCCCTCTTTCTTCCCCCCTACCCCCTATGCATTTCTCTGCTTTTACCCTCTTTACTTCTTGAGTATTCCTAGCTGAATTTTTGCACACATACCTAAAACGTTACCCAACAGACATTGTGAATGCTGCAGAGAAGTCCTTCAACACAGTGAAACCACAGACTAATTAGTTTCCTGAAACCTACACACTTCTGTCCTCATAATGAAATGCCTTAACATGGACAAGCTATTTAAACTAGCTGATGTAACAGCTCTGTATCAGCTTTGTAACTATTATACAGCAGAACAGTCCAAACAGATCCTTTTTTTTCTGAAAAGGATATCCCCAAGTTCACCCCTAACAACTACTAGACACTTGCATTATTATTCAGCATAACCTTTCGCTTTATCTAACATTGTAAAGGCTTTCAGCTATCATTGCTGTGCAGAAATTGCACATTCAGTTCAGTGGGTTTCTCAGTAATCCTCAAATTCAGATCACTTACAGATTCATCAGCCTTTCAGACAGCTGGCTCCCTGTAGTAAGGGACGTAAAAGTCTACTGATCTCATTAGGAGCTAGAATACTCTGCTTTACACTACTGTTTTTCCTGATTAAATTATTCTAGCTGTAAATCATCTTCATTTTATGATGTACAAAAGAAGGAAGGTGATACTTAAAAAGAGATGTATTTACAAGAGAGAAGGGCAGAAAGTGATCATGCATGTTCAGAAGGAAAAAAAAAACAGAAACAGCTTACCAAACAGAAGCCATAATTGAATTAAAAAAAACAATAAATATGTATTGAAGGACAGAACTCAGCCTACTAAAAGATGCCTAATGATGTTCTTCTATGCTTTTTATCTGTTTGTTCCCTAGTAAGGCCATCAGATACCACAGGGCTCATCTACCCCAGCGTCTGGGTAAATATGTTGTTCCTGTAGCTGAACATTCCTCTCTGTAATAATCTGTCCTTCTTTGATAATCTGAATTTGCTTAAACCTTACAGGACTTCCTCATATTCTTGTATGTCAGGTGAAAGGGGTTCTGACCACTCTTGCTAATTCAGGCACTTAGAAACTGACCCTGCCACCTACCTTCTCTTTGATAGACAGACTCTGGGCACCATGCATCTCTCCAAGACAGGGTTATCCCTTTAGTCCTTCTCACAAATCATCTTTGTATTTCTCCCAATTTCTACAGCACTGCCTGCCCAGCTCAGTCCACCCTGAGACAGGTCAGTACCCATAACCATAGCTTATCTTCTTCCTCAACAGTTGTTCACAGCTACACACCAGTGCAGCAGCATAAAAATTTATACCAACAACCTCTGCAACACACAATAGCCAGAGTCAAAGCCCTCCCCAGATCACAATTTACTCATAAAGCATTTTAGTATGCCTTCTCTGAAGACAGGCACAGGTACGGTACATGCTGAAAACATGACTCGAGGAAATTCAGAGGTTTTCTACGTTAAACTCACAGAGGGCTCTGAGTTGGACCAATGCCTTATCTCTGCCTGACAGCAGCACAGCTGTGACGGGGACAGACTGAGCCAGCCAGCTCCCAGCACGAGGGAGACAGCCAAAGGCCTTCTTTGCCTCCCTGACAAATGCGGGTTCATTCCGCGTGTTTCCAGGCCTGCATAGCAGGGAAAAGAAAGCCCATCTAGGGCAAGGAGGAACACTTCAAGGAAATAAAAGTCAGAAAATTTTTTCTTCAATAGAAAGAAGGAACATGGTGATGACTGAGCTGAACCTGCTTCTTACCTCATGAAGGCAAGTGTACTGAATATGATAGGGAGCCACCTTCTCCTCGCCTTTGATCTCCACGCTGATCTGCAGGCGAATAGCCCCGGACACTGCAGACTTATCTGTTCGCTTCTCTAGAAGTAAAAATCATTAGCAATTACTTGCATTGTTCATGTTCAGAGGAGAGCTATCTTCAGGTAACAAACACTGGAAAAGAAACTGCTGGAAACTCAGGCTGAGCTTGTGATCAGAGTCACCATGGAGAAAACTTTCTGACTTTATGACTTAAAAGTACTGAATACTAAGTAGACATCAGCAAAACAACTGCCATGGTGCACCCTCAATATGACACATCTAGCTAGAACTATTTACATTTCTAGACATAGGACAGCCTTTCTGACAGCAAATGTGCTATAGGGTGTGCATTTGTAGATGTGGTCTATCTCGATTTCAGTA